AATCATTTGAATCATGAATCATTCAAACATGAGAAGCGTGACGTTTTTAGGCCAAAGTTTCCATAACCTTGCTGCCTCATTTCAGTAAGAAAGTAGCTCGTTTTATTTATAAATACCATGAAACAAGAAGAAATGAAGATTCAGAATTGCCCCAGGAAGAGTGTGTTTCTATTTTTGACCACAAATTATACTTAATGACGCTTTTAAAGGCCAAGTTTCAGCTTTTAACAGCTTCATTTCAGTAAAGTAAAGCTCCGTTCGACTATAAATACCATGAAACAAAGAAGAAATGAAAATTCAATTTACCCGAAAGAGTGTGTTTCTATTTGCGACCCTAAACTATACTTCAAATCAAAAGTAAGCTCATATATACTCGTCTCTCAAAACCTCCTCGTGAACCAAATGATCGAAATAGGCATCAGCTGGGGCTAAACGCGAAAATTGCAAGTTTTTCAAGTCCTAATCACATCTAGACAATGTTTAAATCATTAAAAAATTCGACTAGATAACAAGATTAAGTACTTTGAATTTTTTTTCTATACAATAGCCAAAAAAATGGCCAAAAATCATTAAACTTTGCATTGGCTATTGCCCTTTACACCGTTCCCTCAGATCGTTCAATTCACTTTGCGCACTTCTCTCAATTTATGAGTCCATCTCATCAGCTCTTCGATCGTTTCGGAAGTATGACGTTTGCTGAAATTGAAAATTGTCGCTTTTACAAAGCCGATTGCACTATGAAAAGCAGCACAGACTCAGTTATCCGTGAAAGTACTGAAAATTAAGAAAATTCAGTTCGTACACGAAATAGTTGTCTGATGCTTCGAAATTATCTTTGTCTAGTCGAAGGGAACTCTTTTGAAGTACTGTCTGGTAGCTCAAATCGATATCATCAAATCCCCATTAAGCTTTTCCTACAAAAGATTTTTGTGGAGGTAGCGGGAATTGAACCCCAGAACCCTCGCATGCTAAGCGGAAACGCTCTACCACTGAGCCTGCCCCACGCTGGTGGGTCCTTTTGCCAGCAGTACAGGAATCAGCGGTTCTTTTAGATCAGGATGGTGGAGGGATGGTTGCGGATTGGACAACGCGGCGATGGATCCTTTCTGGACTTGCGGTTTCAACCGAATCAATTTTGAAGGAGCGGGACGCGGGCCCGACGGACCGGGATAATGAAACTATTTCGATGGTAAAGATCTCTATGGTAAATGCATCCACTTTGGCCAAATGTTAAGCGGGATCGAGTTTATCGAGCTTTTGAAGAGATTTCTTGAGCGATTCGAGCTGGAATGCCGGAGAAGTTTTGAGCGTTTTTGCTTCAAGAACATTCCAAACACTGAATCCATCGGATCAGGACGTGATGGGCAGTTTTGAGATGATATAATGGTTGGACTGGAATCGGATATATTTGTGTCTGAACCATTGGAGTCTTGTGAGCAAAAGCATCATCCTGCATAAACACCGAATGTTCGTTTTCAAATTGATTTTTGGCTCTCACGGAAGAAGAGGCTTTCTTAAGTATGTCGATAGAATTGTTGGAAGAAACATTGATGCCTTGAGGCGGTGCAATCCTGTGTCGGGATAAGTTGGCAATCTCCACCATTTTAATCCAACGAATTCGGTCAAATTCAGTGGGATATGAGTGGGACTGCTTTTTCCGACTGGGGTTTGCGCCCTAGCATTGGGCTAAGCGACCCCAAAGTTCATATCATTCCAGGTGATCCTACCATTACTGAACGAAAAAGGCTCGAAAAAGTAGGCTTTTGTTTGGAATCGAATGAAGAAGCGGATGCTATGGATGGACGTGGAGATCTTCTTATTTCCCGATGAAATCTGATTGACTCGTAACTTCCCAGCGTCGGAGAAATGGTGCTACCGCTACGGATGTTTGGATATGTAGTTTGCTGCTTCAGATAAGAGAATTCGCGGCGGGATGATCGATGAGGCGAGATCGTCGCTCTTTACCCCAGTGAAGCTCCACGGGGTCGTCCACGTCTCAGGGCTGCAACTGCACCGCAGGGTATTGTCGAGAGATCAACTCACCTCCTCCCTTTCCGGACGATGATTAAGTATGGTGTACTCGATGGGATGTTGTTTATTTGATTTGTGATGCTTATGTTACTCAATTTATTTCTCGGTATGAATAATGACAGACCCCTGGATCTCAGAAGTTGCTGGTTTTTCTTATCAAGAACCTATCGATTGGGATCGGAAAATCCCAAGGGGGATCTGTTTTGGCCGGGATTAGAGTGTTGAGCTTTGTGTTTGGTGGGCAGAGCAATAAAATAGGAGCCTCAGCTCGGCTCGCCGGGGGTGGACTACTATTAGAGAAAATACGGTTGTAGAGTTTTAGGCCTAGATATTCTCGAACCCCCACAAGGTGATCTAAAGTCAAGATTTCCAACGGTCTGGAGAGGGTGTCATTCTAATACCGAAGGCGGTGCAGAAGTGATGATTGTAATAAGCATGGTTGACAATGCGGTTGCCGCTTCTCCGCCGCTCGACTGTTTTCTGTTTTCCGTTTTCATTTATTTATTTTGTTTTTACCTGCGCTGCGATGGTGCGTGTATTATCAGCCAGCTCCAGATCATTTATCTAGGGAGACCGTTATATTTTTGTCAAAATAGCGCTGTTGTGTATTAAACAAATATTACCGTGTATCTATCATGGGCTGGCGTGAGACTCTTGGACCGCTCAGATCGCGCGAACCGATGCGCTGAACAGCAATGGTTTGCGGATCGATAGACGCGCGGGCGATGAGATCTTGCTGAGGATTAGAGTGTTGTGAACTATGGGGACCTGCAAGGCGACAGTGGGGATAAACTCGGAGACTGAACCAGGTGCACTACTATTAGGATTTCACTAGTTATCAATTTTTATTACCTGTCTCTCCGACGAGGATCAGATGGTGGACATCTAATCGACAGGGTTTTGGAGGACTTTTCTCAACGGAAACGATGCTGAATTTGATGATGAAAAGATCTAATCTAATCGACGAGACGAAATCGATTCTTGTTTTATAAATTTTGAAACTTTGTTTTTCTAGATTTCAATCAGCGGCTGATGTGGTTGCAGCCCGGGAGGTTTTGGTTTTTTCTGGACCGGACGACAAACGGAACTGAACGGATGGGCGGACAAGACGTGTTTATTTTTTTTAACCGACAACTATCATTGAATTACCGATGATCCGGTCCTCATCATCGATCTTCCGCATCTTCCCCCGTCGCCTCTTTGCTCTTTTCCAAGCAACATGTGCACAACAGGTCGATACTCGCCACATCAGCCGATTTCTGCTTTGCCTAAACACCGACAGGACAGGCCAATCCTAGAAAAACTTTTTATTTGACCTAAAGCTTTCAAGTTGCTGAACTGAATCCTAAAGGAGGAATGGAGGACAGGACAGACGGATAGATAAATATGTTATGAAGGATGGGCAGCTATTTTGATCCCAGTTTCTATCTTACCCACATGGAGCAGATTAGGCTAAAAATATAGACAAGAGGTTGCTTCAGGATGGGAGATGGATAAAGTATTAATGGACATCACTGAAGAAAACAGAAAACCTTCCTTGGACAGAGTTTAAGAAAAATTTGATTTGAATGGAAATGAAAAAAGTGGATGAAGAAAAAACACACGCAAAACTAAAAGGCAAAACTAAGGCAAAACTAAATATGAAACTGAGAGCAAAACTAAAGATGAAGTTACAAGACTGAAACCAAAGGCTAGAACCAAGGAGGCAAAGGAAACTAAAGGCAAAGCCAAGGCAAAACTAAAGGAGCAAAACAAAGGCAAAACTAAGAGGCAAGGCTAAAATGAGCCTAAAGTTCCGTTTCTTTTTTTAAATTTGGTTTAAATTACCAATTTTGAGGGATTTTTGTGTTATTCGGTCGACTCGAGGTGGGGTTGCTTTAAAAAATGATAACAGTTCGATTCCTCTATCCCAGAATGCAGCTACGAAGTTACAAATTTTCAGATCTACAGCTAACATAGATCGCTGAAAAGCATAGATCATCAAAAGTTCCGCACAGCGCTGAAATGATTATTTTCTTGATGGCTAAAAAGGCAAAAATTTCCCGTTTGCATAGTTTTATGAAGCTGAAATTCTGATGAACATTTCTTTTAGTAAATCCGGTGATTGTCGGTTATCCATCCACAAAAGACATCTACGGTGAGTCTGGGTTAAGCATCTCCGTAAATTCTTTATAGGATTACGTAGATTCTCGTTCAAGGCTGATTGACTGATCCGCTGGCACTCCTTCACTGAACATCTACCTCATAAATTTATCAACTTCTTGCCAATTGGTGAAGTCTATCGCCAGGGATATATGCGCTGCTTAAGGACCGAACGCTCGCCAGTGGCACAATAGGAAAATGTTAAAGCATCACTTTTTAGAGAAAACAGTATCCGTCTGCAGAGCGGTGCGGGATCTTGGCACCAGGCATAGATTTACCGCATACATACTTTGTCGCGCCATCTTTCACCTAGTAAGAGTTATCGTAACCCGTTCAAAAAGTCTGTTTTTAAAGATTTGATTATCATAACTAAAAGGCAGCAGTAGTTGGCGGTTATAAATCCACCGAGGCATCCCCGAAGTGATCTCAGTTTAAGCACTCTCCATCCCAGTCTCCTCGGTTATCGACTACTCGTTCGACTGATTGACTGATCACTTCGGCACTCTCTTCACTGAAGGCATCACCGCTCACAAGTTGTCGGCTCCTTGCTTAACCGAATGAGTCTGTGTGAATGTATAACCGACAAGTACCGTAAAACACTTGGATCAGAAATTTCCAGCCTTTTCAGAAGCTTTGTAAAGTGTGAGAACTTTTTGATCCCCCTTTGAATAACTGTCATCTGGAATGGCAGCCCATCCAAAAATGACTTTATCTGTGAATACTTTTTAAAGTTTCAACTTTGGCATAAACATCGCCATTTTGCACAGTGACAATAAATTTCTCAGGATTACCTTTTTTTGGTTCAATCTTTATCAAAACTCTACTTAATTCCGCGCCAGTTCTTCGGTCGTTTTGTCTCCAGGCCTTGAAATTCCTTTGCGTGATCCAGGACGATCGATTTGAGCCTAAAAAATTATCAAAATGAAATACCAACAAGCGAAAAAACCTTATCCAGCAGTTCCCTCATCCCAAAATGTTTTCCGCTTCCAGCAACGTCGCCCCGTTCTCGGCGCTCTAAAGGAATTTATAAAATTTGAATCGATCTTAAATCTTTGAGAGCTTAGAGAAGCTTAAATTTGAGATCTTTTCTAATCATAGATCTACGATCATAGATATCTGATCATAGATATCTGATCATAGATATCTGATCATTTTTGACCAGCGATATCTGATCGCCAGATCTCTTATCTAGACTTCTTAAGCACCGTACCTTTTCAAAGCCAAAACGATCATTGCGAATCTCGTCGTTATCGATGCATACGAAGATCCGCTGTGCTAACACGTTCTCCGTCCACAATGGCGCGAATTTGTCTAAAACATATTGGGTTTGTTTTTTACTGTTTTAAATGTGTTAAATCTATAATCAACACACCTATTTACGAGTCATTTTTGCGCTAGAATTGTCTTTTTATGTCTACTGTCATCGCGGCGACATTCAGCTATATAAGGCGACCTTTTTCTTCATTTATGTTCATTTTCCACTAGAGTTTCAATGTTTTTATCGATAAAATTTCATTTTTTTTTTGATCTTTGCATTCAAGAACTTACAGTTTTAAATCCAGAGTGAGAGTCAAAAAGTTCTTTTTCCCACTCGCCCATTAACAATGTTCACTAGCAGAGTCCCTAGTCACTAACAATGTTCACTAGCAAGTCACTAGTCAATGCGCAATATTCACTAGCAAGTCACTAGCCCCTAACAAAGTTCACTAGCCGCTCAGTTTAAAATTGAACTTAAAAACACAGTATTGGACCCAGTCGAACGATATCGCCAAAGTTCATATCTTGATCAAAGACATATCTGAAATATAGAACAAAATGAGAAATTTGATCGAGAATTCTGATCTCACCTTCCGATGAGATGTTTCACTCCAAAGTGGCACCCGTAAACGAGCATCGTGTCCATAGTGATCCCCCCAAATGTCGCTGTGCCGTGGCCGAAATTTGTTGTAGCTCTTAACTGAGAACAGATTTGATTTTTGATAACCATAATGACACTCCCTTCTAATTTTGCTTTTTTTCTTTTCTTTCTTTTCTTTTTCTTCTTTTCCTTTTCTTCTTTGGGTGTAAATTGATTTGGTGCTTCTGGATAAACTCTCGTGATTTCTCTAAAACCAAAATCCTAGCTACAGGCTTGTAGTGGAAAAAGGAGAGACGAAATGGGAGTAAAATCATGAGATGGGCCAGAGGCTCTCTCTCTCTTGAGCTTTTCTTTTATTGCTCGAATCAACCGGAAACAATCAGGACACGCATTCACTCCCCACAATTCATCCAAAAACAAACACAATGAAGACACAACAAATCAATTTGCTCAGACTTGAAAGTTACTAAACTTTCAACTTTATCAACTTTATTTCGATGTGATAAGAGTTTTAGTTATTCAAATTCGACTCATTAAACGTTCCCTAACAATTTCAACGTCATTACTCTTATTAAAGTTGGTGACCGTATTGATTGATGTTGATATAACAGAAACCTGAAACTTTGCTTTCAAAACTCTCCTTTTCCCCTCTTTAACTGTCAACATCAACAACAATTAACTGTCCACTTAAAGCAATATTCTGTAAACCTGTGACTAACCGAAAGACTTTCGTTAGTCACCTGCATAACTGAAGACTTTCTGGAGGGAGACTTTTCTAATTTTAATTAGTCATTGTGAAATTAAGCCAGAAGTGTTTAACTTGAAACTGAAATTTTGGAAGTACAGGCTTTTTCTTGTCCATTTGTTTTCGATCTTTAGCAGAAGTTTGTGCTCAAAATGTAAACAAACACCCACACACTCAATTCTCCATTTTTCACCACAAAATTTATTGCTGTAAGAAAATGGTGGAACTGATTATTAAGAAAAGTGTTTTCTCTAACAAAATTACTTCAAAGAATCAGCTCTACTGTGCTCATATCGGTTTTTTGAAACTTGACAATTTTTAGGGTTAGCCATCGACCCAGATGAGTAACAGCCAGCCCAGCGGTGCTGCTTGTGAAAAAACGCTTGACTGAAGTTGAATCGAGAATGGAAAAATGAAGAATCAAGCGTTTTGCTAAAAGCACAAAGTACGCGGAAACTGGTGATATTTTCATAGTTAACTGTGTCATAGTTAACTGTGTCATAATTAACTGTGTCATAGTTAACTGTGTCATAGTTAACTGTGTCATAGTTAGCTGTCACAGCTACCGACTATCTTACAATAAACTATTCAGCTAGACTAAACTCAATCCTTTTTTCTATTCTCAGCCCATCGATCTTGATTCTAGACTTTAAAAAGGTTTCTTTTCGAGGTTTCCCTCTTTTCCTGAATGATTTTCCCTTGGGATTTCGAGGGTAAAAGATTTCTAACCTCTTTGGCTTTTTCGGTACAACTTTTACAAGTTTTTTTACTGCACTTATGTTTCTTATTGAAAATTTTAGATTCATTCAATGCACTTCACACACTTGATAAAAGTGCATTTGGAATAAGAGAAATGGCCACTAGGGTGAGTTTTAGATAACAGAAAACAATTGGGGTATATCGTCAAAGAAAAATTACGGTAATTTTCAATTTGATTCTTTTGCATTGTTTAGGTGGAAACTCTTAATTTCTCATGATTGGATCAGCTAAATAGATTTGCAAATTGGCTTTTAAACAGTCTAGTTTCAAGTAGGTGCTGAACTTCAACTTAGTTTCTTCAAAAACTTCAACTTCAAACGAAAAGCGTCCTGTTCCGAACAGGACGTCTGAAACTGGAACGAAGATTTTTGTTCAATTTCGGACGTCCGATTCTCAACTGGGAAGGGATTGGTAAGATCAATGCCAAGCCGAATCAGTCCTGATCTTGCCTGACACAGATTTACTGCCCAGATCCAATGAGCTTGGCTTCAGCCTCGTCCGACCTTCAGTTCAATTTTGGACGTTCGATTCTGAACTGGAGGTCGGACGAGGCTAAAGCCAAGCCATTGGATCTGGGCAGTAAATCTGTGTCAGGCAAGATCAGGACTGATTTCTGGCTTGGCATTGATCTTGCCCAGTCCAGCCTTATTCGAAAAATGTCTCTAGAAGAAAAGAATCCTGTTTGCTAGATTTCGTTAAAACTATCGTTCTATTGTTATTTGCTTCCTAACATAAAAAGCTTTTATCCTTTAAAGAAATTCTCAATAACCTAGTTTAGTTTCCTAAGCCTAAGCCCTTCCCAGACAAGATAAGTTCAACAATAAGATCTTCTGATGCCTAATCAAATCTTTAAAGAACAATTCAATATATATAGATTTCAATATATAGATCAGCCACCAAGTGAGCACCTCACCGCGACTCCGTTGCCCAACTTATCCGCTAAGTGATTTGAACCCCGAAGAGTGCCCGACCGCGTGGTGGTTTTTCTGGTATGAGTGCTGTGGATTCAATCGGACACAGTGCTGTTTAAGATATGAGGTAAAAGGAAAAGAGCTCTCTTAAAGTGAAAAATCTCGAAAAGCCTTACTTTGAAAGATTGACCTTGAAACATTGAACTTTGAAACACGAGAACTTTGCATGAACAAGGAATACGTTTTACGATCATGGCTACGAAGGAACTTTAAAGGAGCTTAGGAGCTTTAAAGGGGCTTTATTGCGATCAAGGCTACGAACAAAAGTTTCGTTCGGTCTAAAGTTTTTAAGTGGGGAATTGCAAAGTTCCTCTTTTCAAGGTTCAGTTGTCATTAATGAAAGAGTTGCCAAAGAGTTACACTGGAAAAGTTTCAGAAGTAAACGCCTTTCGGCATCTTTATCAGTTAGTTTCTTCTTTTTTTTCTTCATCTTCCACTGCTTAACTAGACCAAACGTGCTTAATCTTTGTTTAGAATTAACATTGAATTCTCCTAGAAAATCTTTTGCTGAATTTAAATCAATTTGAGCAAACAGACACAATTCTATCTATGATATTAAAGAAAAGAAAAATTCAATTTTCAATTTAGATAGATTAGATAGATTTAGATTACAAATCTATTTGGTTATTAACTTGTTCGAAATTCAGGACTGGTTTCAATACACCCTATTCGCGTTCTTCTTTTGCATCGCATTGGCACTGATTTTCTCAGCCTATCGATGCTATCGCTATTTGAAGCAAAAACCAAATGGATTTCACCGGACGAGGACGAAAAAGCGCACGTCAATTACCGCGTGGTCACTCAGGAAAGAAGGGCAAGTCGGGGAGTAACCGGCATGAGTTGTAGTATTTTTTTTTATCAAATTATTAGCTTCATTTTTGACAACTCGACAATTTGAAACCCTTTTGATTTGAATTTGAATTTGAAAAAATTTTTCCTATTTCCTATCAAATTTCTAATTTTTAAAATATTTTCCTCATTTTTCTATGTATTTTTAAATCCAAAATCCAAAACTGAAACTTTAAAAGCCCACCCTCCTCGTGAAAAGTGACTTGAACATAGGCAGTGCAAGAGAAGCCACAGCGAACCGGCCCGAGTTTTTCTCTGTAATCAAATTCAAATAAAACTTGCATTTTTGAGCATCTTTTTTTTTGTTTTTTTTTGTATCAAATTTGATGAATAAAATATTTAAAATCCATTTGAAACTTGAAAATAACTGAATGTTTTGAAATAAACTGACCGATTTCGGCGCTCGGCGGCGCTTTGTGACTCGACATAACCCGTTCTGTTGCACCGGAACATCATCGCTGAAATGGAGCAGGGTTAGGTATGATTTTTTCATATTTTCTTTGTATTCTTAAGACTTTTTTGCAGTGCTTTGGTCTATAGAACTAAAGAATTTTTTTAAATAGTAAAAGTCGTTTTCAAAAATGATTTTCAGCCTTGAAGTGCAACCTTTTCTACATCGTGAAGTCTTTTTATAGGAAAAGGCTGGCTTGGCTTGGCTTTCTTTTTGTGTTTAAGATCAACTCTTTATTTCTTTGTCTTTTTACAGTATTAACCATTATCAACCTCTTTTTCCGGTCAATTGTCGCTTTGCGCCGGAACGAGTGCGAAAATTGGCACCACCCTGTACCTCGAGCCAATGGAAGAAACGCTAAAATGGGGAATTAGGCAAAAAAAAACTATCCAAATTAGCTTTTCATTTAACCCTTTAGTCAAACCTCAAACATTTCTCGATTTGGGAAATCCAAGACGTGAATCCTAGCAGCCACATCGTGTTCATCGTTCATGTGATCCATGAAACCGCGTCGCGTGTGGAACTCCATACAGCAAACACCTGAAAGTTTGCTGAAAATGTTTTTGGTTCGCTGAAAATGGAGATAGGTTTTAAAGATAGTTTCCAAGAAACGTAGATAAGGATGTAGCTTTAAAATTTTATTATAATGCTTCAAATTCAAAGCCGAAAAGACTCACCACATAAATAATTTCTTCTACGATCCGCCTCGCCGAAGGGTTCCTCGTGCAAGCCTCGACACTAAAAATGTTTCTATTGATAAAGCATTCAATTCTAAAATTCATAGCATTTTAACAATTTAGCATTCAATTTTTCTACAGTTTTTCCAATGAAATCGATTTCCCTAAGTATTTTAGCAAATTTGAAACAAATCTTTGATCACTGCTTTGCTTGCGCGGGTTATTTGATCAATTATAAAGGCTTAGAGTCAATGTACTAAGCAAAAATCCAATCTACTAGTAATCCAAGAATTTCTTATCACTAGAAATAAAATAAACTCACTCCTTGTGTTCGATGGATTTCAATGGTTCGTGGGGCGACGAGTCGTTGACACCCATAAGGGCAAACTTCACGCTTTGCTCGCACGCCAGACTAAAATTCAATGCTTTAAAAAAGGTTTATCACAAAAGCTGGTTTTGTTCTAGATCATAGAAAAATAGATCTGGGAAATGGTAAATTAAAGTTGAAAGTAGTATGACTGGTTGCAAACTAGTTGTTTCTATTTTCTCAAGGTGAAATCGGTGTTGACACGCGTAAAACAGTGAACGACTCCGCGATTCTGCGCCCAAAATACCGGCGAATATGTCACTAAGTTCCCGGTAGACAATAGAAACTCATAATTGACCTAGTTTAAACGATAATTTAAAAAAGAATATATAGTAGACGCCCAAAATACCGGCGAATATGTTACTAAGTTCCCCGTAGACAATAGAAATTTATAATTGATCTAGCTTAAACGATAGTTTAAAAAAATATATATATAGTAGACTATTAAAAATAACCCACCGGTGGCGTGTACTCCTCTTCACCTCCACCCTCGACATCAATATTTGCGGGTGTTGGTCCACCAATAGCCGATTGTCTTCGAGTTCTCATTTTCTCTTCTAAATTCCACAATAAGCTATCATTAAATGGTTGCAAAGAAAGCACAATATTTCGGCAGAGAGAGCGCAAACAAACGAAACATTTTGCAAATGGAGCACAAAAAGAGACGCGTCCCGTGGGGAAATCGCGCCGCCTTGCGGGTGTCATTTGGTGTAACTTGTAGGGGGAAAGGGAAATCAGCTACGATAATGGAAAAGGACTTGGGGATTGTAAAAAGAATACCGTTTTGCATGATTTCTAAACTCTAAAGGTTTTTGCAATTATAGGGATTATGGGGAAAGAACTATGAAGAGGCTTTACAGTTGAACAGGTTTTACATTTGCTTTTTTATGAAACACTGTACTTCATTAAGAATACTTTATCAATAAATCAATAAATCGAATGGAAAATAACAAGATTTATGTGTTTTAATTTCCTAATGACTTCAGCAGACAAATTATGAGTCAATGAAGCCAAACGCCAATTTCCCTGAACCATAATTGCTTGCAGAAACTTGCAGAACCATTTATAAGTCAATTGCCAATTACCATATGATAATTATTAAACTTTCTAAGTAAGACTTTGAGGTTTAAAAGTTTCCAAGAGTACAATGATATCTTGCAAGTGAACAGAGGTGATGATTAAAGAAATGATTAAAGAATGATTAAAGAACAGCAACTAAAGAGATCTTGAATAAACTTGAAACTCGGCATTCTACATTGGAACATTTTCTCGAAATTAAATATCCTTTTCCTTGTTTATTTACGCATTCAAGAACTATTAACTAGTGTACAGAGTGATTCAAAATTTCTCGTACAACACCGCGCACAAGTGGTCGAAATCACGCTGCCAATCACGGTGCCGTGGTCGACCACTTGTGCGCGGTGTTGTACGAGAAATTTTGAATCACTCTGTACACTAGTTAATAGCTCTTTTTAGAATAATAATTCCATAACATTTTTGATCTTGCCAGCGTAATTGAACCGTCGACCATCCGCTTAAGAGACAAGACTTTTTACTTGGCTCCTCAATTAGAGAATTACTCCTGTAAAAAAAAGGCTTATGATGATAGATACTTTATTAATGAAATGAAACAAAGGCTTATCACCAAACTTTTTAAAAAAAAGCCAGTTTAAAAGCTGATCTTTCAAAAATACATTTATTGAAAGCCAATAATGTGATACAAAAAAGGATACATAATAAGACATATACATTACTGGACAATGAAATATCATATTTGAAAAAAGAGCGTCACTTTCGCACGTCTGTAACTCCCTTGTCTTTACCGTATTTATAAATATTAATATTACCATTGTGTAGCCCTTGAAAAGAGCTTTCAGAAAACGTATAACACTAATAGTTTAAACTCAAAGACAAGAGAGTTACAGACGCGCGAAAGTGACGATCTTTTTTTCAAATATGATATTTCATTGTCCAGTACTGTAGGTCTAAAAACACAATTTTTTATGGAACTGCAGCCGTCGTTACCCCTATTTTATCCCTATTACCCCTATTACCCTAAATGTTGTGAAAGAAAGAAAACCCCACTTGATTGGAGAAAGATCTTGCCTATTATCTTGCCAGCGTAATTGAACCGTCGACCTTCCGCTTAAGAGACAAGACTCCTTGCTTGGCTCCTTAATTAGAGAATTACTCCTTAACTGGCCATCTAGCCAGATAGCTGGCCATCTAGCCATCTAGCCAGATAGCTGGCCATCTAGCCATCTAGCCAGATAGCTGGCCATCTAGCCATCTAGCCAGATAGCTGGCCATCTAGCCATCTAGCCAGATAGCTGGCCATCTAGCCATCTAGCCAGGTAGCTGGCCATCTAGCCATCTAGCCAGGTAGCTGACCATCTAGCCATCTAGCCAGGTAAGGAGTAAGGTAAGGTAAGGTGAGGCCAGATAATTCTTTAATTTTCCTCCAGTTTCAAGGCAATAAGCATTTGTTGACTATTCATGCTTGTGCCTAGCACATTTCCTCTAATTTTCCTCCAAATTGCAGTAGGGAATTTGAAGTCCCCTTTTCAAAAAGCGAAAAAGATTCATCGAGTAGAGCTAGCCTGACTCTATCGGACAAATCCGTTAATCCTTAGAAGGCGGTGACTCTTACAGTCAGTCTGCAGTTCAATCCCCTTCAATTCTTTTTCCCCAAAAATCTTTCCACAAAATCGACTCGTTTTTCTCTTCTCCTTTCCCAATGACCCTTTTTGACTTTTGGATTTTCCGATGGATTTGGGATTTCCGAGCAATAGCTCCCGGTTTGTCAACTCAAAAGTTTTCACGGAAAAATCTCAACTCTTTTTGAGCTTCTGCTTTTTTTTGAGTTTAAATTGAATTTGAATTGAGTTTAAATTGAATTTGAATGGAATTTTGAAATTTAAAACTAATTACAGTTTTTATGGGAAGTAGTTTTTATAGAAAAATGGCTTAAAATCAGTATAAATTCGTTTTTATTTGAAGATCGAAGAAATGAAACCCGGCAATTGCTTCTACAAGCTTCTACAAGCTTCTACAAGCGTCTACAAACTTCTACAAACAAACTCTTTTGCAAAGTGCGGGAAAGTGATTAAAAAGCCATCTTGATTCACCCACGAGTACCATTCGATAACCTTTCGATCTTTCGATTAACCTCTTGATTTTAAAAGCTTTATTCTATAACTTTTTCTTTCTTTTATTCATTTTTCTTTCTTCCTTTCTTTCTTTCTTTCTTTCTTTCTTTCTTTTATTTTCTTTCTTTTATTTTCTTTCAATCATGTTCACAAAGTGACAAATTTGAAACAAATCAATCATTCAAATCAAAAACAAATTCATCAATCAATCAAATCAAAAACAAATTGATTAACATTGAGTTTTTAAGCTTTTTCGGGGTAGGCTAATTTCCGCATTTTTTTTTTGCGCAGGTTCATTTGCGCAACTCACCATAACTTTCTTCTAAGTCAGCCAATCTTTATGACGTTGGTTTCATTTTGTAGATCTCAATAAGTGCAACAAAATGACACCACAAATCATAAAGATTGGTTGACTTAAAAGAAAGTTATGGTGAGTTGCGCAAAAGGACCCAATTGAAACCCATTGATTTGGGGAAAATTGTTTCAATGTCTCATCTTAAGCTGATTAGATAGAGCAAAAAGCCATTTAAGCCATTTAGGCTATTTAAGCCATCTTACAGCCAAAAAAATTCTTAACAATCTCAAATTGTAAGGATAAGGCGGGGTAGGCCAGTTTCCGCAACTTTTTTTGCGCAACTCACCATAACTTTCTTCTAAGTCAGCCAATCTTTATGATGTTGGTGTCATTTTGTTGCACTTATTGAGATCTACAAATTGAAACCAAAATCATAAAGATTGGCTGACTTAGAAGAAAGTTATGACATGAGGGAGCTTTGCGTGGAATATCTGGTGAACAAGCCGGGCGGGAAAATTGGAGGACCCAATCGAATTTTTGCAGATGTATAAGGGGAAAAACGTTAAGTAAAGATAGCGTTAAGGAAAGAAAACGTTAAGCAAAGAAAACGTTAATTTTATCTTATTGTTAAATGTAAATTTTCGAGCGACGTCGCATTCCAATTGACGTCGTCACCATTTGAAGGTAGTCGATGGGAGCGTCGCGTCGTCGTTTCTTTTTCATTTCTTCAAATCATTTGCGAAAAATTTCGGAAACTAGCCTACCCCGCTTTTTCAGTTTTCATTAAAGTTTCTCTCAAAATAGCAAAATCAACTCAAAATCTCACTTTTTAAGTAAACCAGTTATTCACTTTTTTTCCCCAAAATCGCTTCTTTATACACTGAAATCGGCTCAATCGGCTTTGAGGAGAAAGAACAAATTTTCTTTGACAAATCCGACCATGAAAGACGAAGAAAGGACGAACAAAGGATGAAGTCTTTGTCAAGCCAACGTCAAGTTATCGCCAACTCAATTCTATTGACAAGAACTCGTTTATTTGGTGAAAAAAAGAGTGTAGATTTGATCGAAAAATCAGTCTTTCAGATTGGTTTCCATTTTTGAAACCCATCATTTTTATGGCTATCTTTTAAGGCTTTTTTTAAGGGCAGAATTTAGATTTAAAGTTGATTATTTTGAAAAAATAAGCTCTCAGTCAACTAGTTGAGTTTTATTTGAATATTAGTATCTAGATTTTATTCTGATAAAGTTTATAAGCAAACAGCTAGCTGACTATCAATCTGTTTCGATTCTTATCAAACTTTCTCATAGACTTTTGCTATTTCGATTGCTTTTTGAGCTTTTATTTAATCAAAGTAAGACAAATTGCTGAAAAAACAAATTGATTCCTTTAACAATGAACTAAAGATGATAGTTTTGAAACAAGAATATGATCATAACATTAACATCATAACAAAAGGGATGGGGCGACGGGCCTTTTATACGCGCCCTGTCCCTTTGCCATTGGCAATCTAACTTTAAGCTCAGATATCTTGGTGTTAAGCTGTTCAATTTATAAATTATTTGTATCATTAGATGCGCCAAGTCTTTCTCTATCGATTGGTAAAAAAAACTATTTAAATTGGACAGTTCGGCACTAAGAAATTTGAGCTTAAAGCTGGATTGCCAATGGCAAAAGGGACAGGGCGCGTATAAAAGGTCCGTCACCCCATCCCTTTTGCCATTGGCAATCTAACTTTAAGCTCAGATATCTTGGTGTTAAGCTGTTCAATTTATAAATTATTTGTATTATTAGATTCGCCAAGTCTTTCTCTATCGATTCGTACAAAAACTATTGAAATTGGACAGTTCGACACTAAGAAATTTGAGCTTAAAGCTGGATTTCCAATGGAAACTTGACATGTTTATTAGTGCATTTCCAAGAGAATTGATTCTTTTTAAAAGACAACCAGGTCGTCAATTTTGAAACCGATTTTTCTAGAGTCTATGCAATCAATTTGTAGCCTTTTTCTCTTAAACACTCGCAATTTGCATTGAAATTTGCGATTAATTTTGATGAAAATGGATCCTTTGAGTACCTGTCAATTCTCAATTTTTCAGCCATCAGAGAGATTTTTTTACTCAAAATAAACCTAAAGTCGAATGTTTTCAAAGCAAAACGCAATGTTGCTAGTTTTTAAAGCAATAGCACTTTGTTTCTCCATAAAATAGCCATTTTATTTAATTTAGGGTACATTTAGAGGTAAATATAGCCTAGCTAAACTTCTTTTTAAAGCTTTTTAAAGCTCGACAAATGTCAAGAGATACCGATTCGTGTACTCGACACTAAACTAGAGTCAACACTTTTTGAAACCTATTTTTTTGCACTGGATTTTACCAATAGAGTCTTGTTTGAGCGATTTTTACAGTCTAATTCACATTTTGGTTGGTTTGCTTTAGTGATCAGGAAAATCAAAATCTATCAAATGCTTCTTATGAATGTCCCATTGAAGAACTCGAAGAGCTACAGAATGGATAAGCCTATCCTTCAACCATTCATTTCAAAAACCTCAAAAATAATGGTTGAGATGCAATGATTGTTTCGAAATTTGGGGTTAAAATGTTTAAAAGTCAGGTAAGCCATCGACAAAATATACTTTTGCCAAACTTTTATCATCTTTTCTTTAGCTCTTCGAATTCTGTAGCTCTTCGAGTTCTTCAATGGAACATTCATAAGAAGCATTTGGTAGATTTTGATTTTCCTGATCACTAAAGCAAACCAACCAATCAATGATTGGCTATTGTAAAAGTTACAATGTAGTTACAATGTAGCATAGCTGTCGGGAATGTGGCATAGCTGCATAGTTACACCAGTAGCTAGTACACTAGTACACTAGTACACTAGTAGCTAGTACACTAGTACACTAGTAGCTAGTACACTAGTACACTAGTACACTAGTAGCTAGTACACTAGTACACTAGTAGCTAGTAGCTAGTACACTAGTACACTAGTACGCTAGTAACTAGTACGCTAGTAACTAGTACCAGTACGCTAGTAACTAGTACTAGTACGCTCGTAGCTAGTACACTAGTACACTAGTAACTATACAGCTGATTCCCCCAGATGCTAGATTCCCGACAGCTATGCTACATCGCAACTTTTACAATACCCAATCATTTTCTTTTTTCACAAAAACCTTTGATTTTAGCTTTGAACAAGATTTTGTGCTTTTATCTGAATCTGTGTGTTTTTCTTTTCTTTTTCAGTTCAAGTTTTAGTTCAAGTTTGTATTCAAACCTTAGATTCGATGGGTTCCATGAAAGCGATCTTCCTTCTTGCTTTACAATTGTTAAAGAATGATGCTTTTCTCTTCCCCGGTAACTAGAATTCTCTAAACAATAAAATCTTCAATTTTTTGCTCTAGAAAACGATGAAATCATAAAGAAAACATAAAGAAATCAAAGAAATCATAGAGTTTTATTCTTTTCTAAATTCTTGGTTGAAAACTGACTGTAGGCTTTTCAGCAAAGAGCTAAGAGAAGAGCTAAGAGAAGAGCTAAGAGAAGAGCTAAGCTAAGAGCTAAGCTAAGAGCTAAGCTAAGAGCTAAGCTAAGAGCTAAGCTAAGAGCTAAGCGAAGAGTTAAGCTAAGAGCTAAGCTAAGAGCTAAGCTAAGAACAGCTAAGAACAGCTAAGAACTTTCAGCTAAGAACATTTGAAACAAATTTGCCAGTAAACTAGCTATCAATAAACTAGCTTTAACTTGGTAAACATTAACCTTACTTAATTTTTAAACTATGTTCTATGAAAGGATAAGATCTCTTCTCAAAGATACTATCAACTCTTCAATTCGTATTAAAACCTCAAATTTTGCGTCATTAAACAGCTCTCTTAATTCATAAATTCTATGTGGTGGCTGTGGCGGTTCGTGTGGCTGCCCTCAACCCCAATGCCCGCCTGTCCAGCAATGTCCATCGTTTCCCCCGTGTGCCGCTGTGCCACCACTTTTCCCACCTCTACCACCACCTCCAGGTATCGATTTCCAATGTTCAAACTCGACTCAAACAAATTTGTGTTTTGTGTAATGGCTTTTTTCTCCAGTTATGGCTCCGCAGAACGCATGTCAGACCGCTTGTCCGCCCCCGGTCCTTCCATTCTTGCCACCACCACGTAAGACTTCGTTTAAAAACTAAAAAAGATCGAAATCAACTTGGAATCAAAGTTTACCTGGTATTATAAAACATCTTTAACATTTCAGCTTGTCAACAAACCTGTGGAGCTGGTCCTCCACCGCCAGCTCCTCTCCCCCCAGTTGCTCCTCTTCCTCCTCCATTGCCACCAATCTCCACCATCTCTTCCACAAACTATGGAGGACCATTTGCATATCCGGTGACACAATTTAAAAAGCTTAATGAATTTCTGAATTGAAATTGTAACTGAAAAAAACTGAAAAGCTTTAAATTAGGAGGTGAGTTTCAACGTAAATGACTTTAACCCAACGGTGGTGGTATTATATCAGTCAGAGCTGACTCTACATCTGGCTAGCTGACTGTAGCCTGTCTTTCTACCTGCTTAGAACATAACTACCGGATTCTCTCTAATAGTAGTGCACCCTGAGCGTCTAAATCGTCGTCGTCTAAATTACTCGAAATCTCGAGAACCGCTCATCAGAACCTATCGATGTGGGGTCAGAAAGTGTAGCTGACGATGAGATCTAGTGGGGGATTTGAGTGTTGAGCTTCTGCAAAAGCTTGAAAACCGTAAAATAGTCATCAACTCGGCTCGGCCGGGTGCACTACTATTAGAGAGAATACAATAGTATCGATTTACCTTACCACCAGCAATAAACTAGCAAAACAAATGCAAATCCTATAATTATCTTACAATCTCAAATGATCTTTGAACCAACTATGGCTTCAAATAGAAATGAGATCTGCTAAAAGTTGAGTTTCAACCAAATCTGTACCTAAATGGAACCAAATCTTAAACCCCTTCACCGCTAAAAGTAGTAGTGTTAATCGATCGACGATTTTACCTCTACCTTCATCAGCAAATGATATTAAAGTTAATGATAGCTTTAAAAATGAATTTTTCATAAACCTCCAATTCAGCAATCGATTCCGTCATCGTCACTCGTCCCCCCATCTCCTCAATTTGTTCCATCGACGGTTCTTCCCGAAACAACTCTTTCCACTCTTCCACCACTTGTCCCATTGCCAACTCCCGGATATGCACAAGTAGGAATATTGCTAGATAGCTTAGCTATTGCTAGATAGCTTAGCTATTGCTAGATAGCTTAGCTATTGCTAGATAGCTTAGCTATTGCTAGATAGCTTAGCTATTGCTAGATAGCTTAGCTATTGCTAGATAGCTTAGCTATTACTAGATAGCTTAGCTATTGCTAGATAGCTTAGCTATTGCTAGATAGCTTAGCTATTGCTAGATAGCTTAGCTATTGCTAGATAGCTTAGCTATTACTAGATAGCTTAGCTATTGCTAGATAGCTTAGCTATTGCTAGATATTCTGTAAGTATAAAATGTCACTGTTTATCATGGTATTGTTTGCAAATTCCAAATTCATCAAGTCATTTACGGTTTTTTCTATCTAAAAAGCTCTATTAATTCTTGTTAAAATATCTTGATATTGCTTTTTCCAGTTTTCCCAAAATCTTTTGTTTTTGGGATTTGCAAGAGGCAAAAAGCAAAGTAGTCAAAAATGGCAAATTGGACAAATTGGATTTCGTCCACAGAAACCTATTTTAGTGTTAATAATAATAATAATACTTTATTCAAACGATAAACTGAAAGAAATCATAGAGAAATGCACAGTGATACTTAATCATACAATACATACTGAAATCAATAAGCCAATTACTTACGGCAAAGAGCCACTAGATCTAAAGCATCGATACGTTTCTTGAATATGAAAAGCGACTGAATTTCTCGTATGTCGTTTGGGAGCAAGTTCCATAATCTAGCGGCTCTAACGGGAAATGAATTTGATAAAGAGGCATTGGAAGCAAAGGGAATTTGCAAAAGGAATGAGCCACTTCTGGGCCCTGACCGCGGTTTAAATTTGAAAAAGTCTATAAACAAAGGGCTAATCTGTGTTAATCAAGAAAAGATTGAGCCTAAAGAGTTAGGCCAAATATAGCCAAATTTTCAGATCAATCTTTCCAGCCTATTTTCTTGTATTCCAATTTTACGAATTTTCAGTAAAATGCGGGTTTTTTTTTTCCTAAAAACTGCAGGTAAATGCATAAGAAATGCGGATTTCAACATTTTCCAATAAATTTTCAACGATAGAAGCCTGATATCGATGAATGTTATAAACTATTTGAAAGTTGTAAATCTCCTCTACAAAATAGGCTAAAACGTGTTTCAATTGATTGAAGAAATTGAAGAAATTGAAGAAATTTCGGGGGCGAAATGCGGACGAGATTGTAAATACCCATACGGTACGAGTGGAGGACAATCGCATCGAGCCCATACGCCGTCAGAATCCCCTCGAGGAGCCAGCGGTCAGCATTTCTCCGTGCCATCGCGGGGCACAACACCGCTTCAGGCAATCCTTCGATGACGACGTGGTAGGACGAGTCGAGCTGCTTGGCCAGTCCGACTCGTCTTGGCCTTGGCCAGACGTCGAACGCAAAGTCGGGCGGTCTCCATCGTGGCGGTGGCAACGGGTGGAGCGGATGGTAGCCGGAAGACATCTCACGTTTGTTTTTTTTGGTCACTCGCATTTCTTGCACTCGCAAGGGCACTTTTTGAAAACCCCACTTTCACAAGAATTCCGTTTTGACTATATAGTGGAAAATGACCGTCAAATCATTCAAAATACCATTCAAAATAATTAAGAGTTGTGATCATTTCATGGGAAAACTTTGTTTTTACAATAATTTTTCTTTTTTGTGAAAAAGCCGGTTTTTTTGACAATTTTGAGGGTTTTGAACTTTTGAACTATCTAAATTTCTTTAAATGCATTTCCGTTAGACTTTTTTAATCAATTGATATATATAATTATCCTTTTTTTATTTAAATCTTCAATTTTGAGAAGCTAACTCTATTTTGACCGCACTAAACTTGTCCCTAAAGTGACTCGATTCCTTTTTTTGGTCACTCGCATTTCGCCCTCGAAATTTCTTCAATTTCTTCAATTTCTTCCATCAATTGAAACACGTTTTAGCCTATTTTGTAGAGGAGATTTACAACTTTTAAATAGTTTATAACATTCATCGATATCATTCATCGATATCAGGTTTCTATCGTTGGAAATTTATTGGAAAATGTTGAAATCCACATTTCTTATGCAGCCTAATATATCGTTTCTTGAAAACCTAATATATCGTTTCTTAATTCTTTCTTAAGTTCATTTCTTAAGTTCATTTCGATGAAGATGAAGATTCCAAATTTCATTGTGATAAAGCCGTTAATTAAAGAAGAAATCGTAAAATTGGAATACGAGAAGATATCCGATATCTTCTCAGGCAAGATACAGAATAGCTTAGTCGTTAGAGCATCTGCCCGGAAAGCAAAATCGTCGAGGGATCAATCCCCTCTCCAGAAATCTTTCTTTACCATTCTTTACTTCATTACCATTCCTTACTTCATTACCAATATCCTAGTCGATTCCCTCGCCCCTTCCACCGCCTCCATCACTCGTCCCATTGACCTATCAAAGCCCGCAATCCGCCAATCTTCCTCCGACTTTCACAGAGACTGAACCAAAGCCAGGTAATTGTTCAATAATTATTCAATATCACAATATAGATAACAAAAGTTTTAGAAGACTTTTAAAAAAAAACTGTTAGAGAAACGAAACATTTATATGAATTGAAGTTTTTGAAAAATGAAATAAAGTCCCAAATCTAGCCTCACCATTTCAAAGTGCTTATGTCGAAGAATTGGCACCAACTCTTCTTCCACCACCATCTCAAGAATACAAGGTTTGTGATGAAATTTGAAATCACATGAACAGTTTAGACAAAATATTCAAAAGAGCGCGTGTTCTTTGAGGGAGATAGCTCATCAAATTCAAAGGTTCGTTGAGCACAATTGATCTTTTTGTTTTGAATGTTCATTTGAATAATGAATGATGAATGCTTCTTTGAAAATTGAATAGTGTGTTTCGAATGGTTTCGGTCTATTTTAGGAAGGTTTAACGGAATACGATGAGAATGAGGGCGCCGCTCCACCATCTCCGCCAGTTGGACAAGTGGGTCTCGCCTGTTCACAGAGTAGATGACAGAGATGCTTTAAGCTGGTTGAGGAACCAATTGGGCTAGTCAAACTGGCCAGGCAAACTGGGGAAGTCAAACTGGGCCTAGTCAAACTGGGTCAAGTCAAACTGGTCAAGTCAAACTGGTCAAGTCAAACTGGTCTAGTCAAACTAGCAAAGCCAAACTAGCCAAGCCAAACTGGCCAAGCCAAACTGGTCAAGTCAAACTGGCCTAGTCAAACTAGCCAAGCCAAACTAGCCAAGCCGAACTGGCCAAGTCAAACTGGCCAAGTCAAACTGATCTAACCTAGTCCGGCAAGACCATTGACTTGATCTGATCCATGACCCGATCTGCAACTGACTTGGCACATCTTCAAGCTATTAGATTGGCCAGAAAGTCGTTAGATTAGACTTTCAGAAACTAAACTGATCTCTAAACTGATCACTGAATCAATTTAAAACTAAAGTTGGAAAAGCGGAAAAATCGAAGCCCAGTTTATCGAGAAACCTTTATGAATCCGCTGAAATTTTTAGGTTTCCGGTCAAGTAGGCGTTCCCTATCAACTACCTGGCTTTATCCCCACAGTCCAAACAGCCGGTTAGTTTTTTTTTTTTGAAAATTTTATTTTATATTGGGTTGGTGAATTGAAAACTGCGGGCTATTGTCATATGTGACAGTTTGAGCATTTTCTTCAAAAGAAACCCATTTTGGTGTCATTGGAAAAGTTGTAGAGAATCAAAAATAAAGCTTATATCCAATTTTTCAGAACGATTCAAAAACTGGTTTTCAAGAAATGCCAAATTTACGAATTTTTGACAAAACTTGCAACAAAACTTGCATTTTAAGCGAAACTACTAAGTGTATCTTTTTGAAAATTTGGCTATAAGCCTAATTTTTGATTCTCTACAACTTTTCTATTGACACCAAAATGGGTTTCTTTTGAAGAAAGTGCTCAAATGCTTAAACTGGGAAATCTCCAGTCCTCGATTTTTGAGTCTCACACTTGTCTCACACACAAACCAAAATCCTACTACGAAAGAGGAGACGAAAATCCTCAAATTGCCTGTAAAATGGGCAGAAGTCGTCAATAATAATGGAAATTATTTGGAATCAATCGATGGTTTTATGTTGAATAAATTTTAGTTCAAAGTCTCGCAGTTTTCAATTCATCAACCCAATATTAGAGAAAATACGGTAATTGTCAGAACTTTTGAGGAAACACTTACCTTTGTCTAATAATGTTTTTCCTAGACCAAGTAATGATACAAAAATCGCAGTTTTCAGTTCATCAACCCAATAGTTAAGAGTTTAATCACAATTTCAGGCGCCTATCCCCCAAGCGAAGAGGATGATCGAATCTATGCAAAAGATGGAGAAGTGAAGTGGGAAACTCTTCACTATTTGATACTAATTGAAAATTTGGCTGAATCCATTTAAAATTGAAACTATGTAGTGCTCTATAACATCTGTAATGCTTTAAATACAATTTACAATCTCATTTTTAGACATTCAAACGGATTGACGAGCTCTATTGAATACAATCCTTACTTTGATGGCGCTCATCCCCCATCAGCATCAGCACAACAAGAGAATTTCGAGAGTTTCTCGAAACGCAATGCGCTTCTCAAGCGACACAAGGTTTAGAAAGAAAGAAAGTTAAGAAATATTGGGTTGTCCAGTTATGAATGCGCGTTTTTTATTATTTTGTAAATTTCTCAAGATATCGAACAGATGTATATGAGTGTTAAATATCATTCGAAAGCTGAAGATCTCCTCTACATTTTGATATAAAAAGTTTTTGAATTTGTTCAGCTTTTGGGCAAATTGACTGCACAAAGGGAGAGGTCGTTTTCGAAAGAACCGATTCCAGCTTAGCTATTCCTAAAGCTAAATTTCTCAAGATATCGAACAGATCTATATGAGTGTTATATATCATTCGAAAGCTGAAGATCTCCTCTACATTTTGATATAAAAAGTTTTTGAATTTGTTCAGCTTTTGGGCAAATTGACTGCACAGAAGAAGAGGTGGCCAAAAAAAATGGAAGGGTGCCTTTGGATCAAGTTTTGGCTCCGCTCAAATTGAGTTAACCGTTTGATGTTTGGCCAATAGATATATCAATACAACTTTTTAAAAAATATAACAATTTCAGAGCATCTTTACTTTTCTGGGCGGTTATTTTACACCATAAAACTTGAGGAATAGCTGGAATGGGTTTTTTCGGAAACGACCTCTCCCTTTGTGCAATCAATTTGCCCAAAAGCTGAACAAATTCCAAAGCTTTTTATATCAAAATGTAGAGGAGATCTTCAGCTTTCGAATGATATATAACACTCATATGCATCTGTTCGATATCTTGAGAAATTTACAAAATAGTAAAAACGCGCATTCATAACTGGACAACCAAATAGAAATCAAACTGTAGCTTCAACAAGTTCAACAACGAATAACGATTAACTGAATTTGCCAATCTTTGCCAATCTTTTCAAATGTTTCAGTCAGCCAAACAGCACTCTTCGAATACGATTCAAAAGACGACGACAACTTGTAACAGCGAGAAACTGGCTCGTGTCATGGCCAAGGTAAGACTACAACTTGTAACAATGAGAAATTGGCTCGTGTCATGGCCAAGGTAAGACTACAACTTGTAACAATGAGAAATTGGCTCGTGTCATGGCCAAGGTAAGACTACAACTTGTAACAATGAGAAATTGGCTCGTGTCAGGGCCAAGGTAAGACTACAACTTGTAACAATGAGAAATTGGCTCGTGTCGTGGCCAAGGTAAGACTACAACTTGTAACAATGAGAAATTGGCTCGTGTCAGGGCCAAGGTAAGACTACAACTTGTAACAATGAGAAATTGGCTCGTGTCGTGGCCAAGGTAACTTCATAACTTTCTTAATAAATTTATACATATTTTAATCATTTTAATCACTTTAATCATTCGCACATTCGCGAAAAATCCATTTTTCTCTTTACTGATTCGAATTCGAATCATTCGAATGATTCTAGACTAGCTGTAGATCTGAAAATCTTTACCCAGAGTTTTTTTTGGGTAAGGAATTCGAATCTGGTTTTAGTTTTCAACTACAGCTGGCTGGAAGTAGTAGTAGTTTAGCTGGAAAATAGATTAGAATAAGTTGGGGGTTTAGAGAAAACGAATCCGAAAAACGAAAAAAAAAAACAAAAAAAACAAAAAAACAAAAAAAACAAAAAAACAAATTTTTTGCTAAAATTTCTTTATTTAAATGTGTTAAAGAATGAAAACTATATAATTTCAATTCTTCAGGCAATCAATGGCGATGTAGCAGTCGCGAAAAAGTTGGTCCAAAAAGCTACAGAAGTCGCGTTTGATGGGAGCAAATTTGATGTATTTTGCGCGAATGGGGAATTCAGTTACAGCATTCATTCGAGGTAAGTTTAAAAAAGAAAAATTCGAACAAAAAAGCGCAAAAACAACTATGCAATGAAAGAAATGAAAGCTTGATACGAGAAATAAATTACTATTATCAAATCCGGTCATTGATCGTCAAGCATGAATAAATCGTCAAGCTTTGATGGCCAGCTATAACATTGATGGCTTTCTTCAGCTATAACTTTGTCTAGAGATAATCTTATTACTAACTTTTTATATCGTTGTAACGAGGAGACTCCAGGCTTTCGAATGACACCAAATACAGCTTAATCGGATTATTCAGTCTCTTAAGAATCAATCACGATTGGATCAGACGTATTGCTCACAAAGTTTTTGCCAGAGTTGGCTTTTTCTCTGGACTTGGTGAGCCAATTAAGCTGTATTTGGTGTCATTAGAAAGCCTGAAGTCTCCATGTTACAACGATATAAAAAGATAGCAATAATACTATCTCTGGACAAAGTTATAGGCTATTAAAGCGATTCAAAATGATTTTGTGTAAGAGCTGAAAATCCTGTCTAAAAAATTTCGATTCAGAAAATATTGCGAGATCACAAAAGACGAGGTGACTTGCTTTGCTTTCCGATAAAAAGGAAAATCGCTAATTTCTTGTAATCTCTTGTAATTTTATTTATTTCTTCTTTCAAATGTAATTTCCCTTGTTTACCTCGTGCTTTAAAGTTTTTTTTTAAAAAAAAGAAACCAATTGCTTGTTAGTCTGTAAATTTTTGCGTTTCAAGAGTATAAATATTTATTTCAAGTTGTGCAGTGTGTGAGAGAGAATACCGATGGGGGCAATGATTATTAGATATTTATTCCGAATCTAGCACAATGACTAATCTAGCGAGAAAATATAATAAAGTAGAATCAATCGTTGGTTCAGTGTTTCATAGCAATACGAAAAGCAATACGAAAAGCAATACGAAAAGATAATATAAAGTGGGCTCCGTTAAGGTGGGCTCCGTTAAGGTGGGCTCCGTTAAGGTGGGCTCCGTTAAGGTGGGCTCCGTTAAGGTGGGCTCCGTTAAGGTGGGCTCCGTTAAGGTGGGCTCCGTTAAGGTGGGCTCCGTTAAGGTGGGCTCCGTTAAGGTGGGCTCCGTTAAGGTGGGCTCCGTTAAGGTGGGCTCCGTTAAGGTGGGCTCCGTTAAGGTGGGCTCCGTTAAGGTGGGCTCCGTTAAAGTGGGCTCCGTTAAAGTGGGCTCCGTTAAAGTGGGCTCCGTTAAAGTGGGCTCCGTTAAAGTGGGCTCGTTTATCATAAAAGCTATCTTTTAGAGGCGGGACAAGAGAATCAGATATTCAAATCAAAACATTAAATAAGATTTCACAGAAAAGAGCCACTTTTCTGCACACAAGTTGTAGAAATGAATAAAATGAAAAGCAAGCTTTAGAAACAAGTAAATAAATGAAATCTCGATTAAAGAATTGAATAAAAAGCTTACTTTAGTTTCAATTTTATCCTTTCTTCAGCGGCCTGTCTTTCCCTTTTTTGCTTTACATACATTTCGAGATCCTGAAGTGAGATTTATATAAAAATCAAAGATCTTCAATCAAGAACAAGATCAAAGATCAAGATCAAAGCTCAAAGATCAAAAATAAAGCATCTTATTCCACTATTTTAACTGTTTTCTAGCTGTTCACTCAAAGTTTTCTGTTTAAAATCAGTTTGATTAAAGCAAGTTTCAAGTCTCTTCAAATAAAAAAGTTGTTAGTTCAACTCTCCAAATCTTTTTTCATCATTTTTCAATCATTCTTTTCTAAGCGCTGGTTAATGCTAAAAATACGTGTGATATTTCAAAAAAATCCTCTATTTTTCTACTTTAATTTGATACCTAAACGCGCAGAAACAAACGCACTAGTGCTGAGATCAGAGCAATTTTTTGAACGACGACTCGACGTTCCTTTAGGGACTCTTCTATTAGAATTTTTACGATAACTTGTGATTTTCTCTAAATAAAAAGTGTTTCTTATTTAATTTTGGATCTTTTTAAGTCACTTTTGATTGAATTATATACCGTATTTTCTCTAATAGTAGTGCACCGTTGCCTAAATTACTCGAAATCTTGAGAACTGCTGAACTGCTTATCAAAACCTATCGATGTGGGGTCGGAAAATGTAGCTGACGATGAGATCTAGTGGAGGATTAGAGTGTTGAGCTTCTGGGAAAACTTTGAAACTGTAAAATAGTCATCAACTCGGCTCGATCGGGTGCACTACTATTAGAGAAAAACGGTATTCTTTCCTACCCTTCTTTTCTGTTCGACCAGCTTGTCGATTTGTGGTTCGACAAAAAGGGGATCTTCGGTTAAATCGTCACCCGTTTGCTCTTTGGCTTCCTGAAATTGATAAACTAAAAGAGAATCCTTAGATAATTTAGATTATAATATGACAAAAAGCATTTTTGAAGTAAACCTTTTGTGGGAACATCTCATTGATCGCTTCTCTCCACAAAGCGATCGGTTGAGAGGCGCGGAGTGAAGTGAATGAACCCTGGGGCAATGGTGGAGCGCCAATATCCTGTAAACTTTGTAATACCCTGTAAAAATCCCCAAGCTTAATAGCTTTAGGAAAAATTTGTTGACAAAGTTGATTTGGGAATTAGACTCACTAGACTGAACTGAATTGTTTACCAAAAATAGAATAAAGTTAAGAAGTCAGGAATAAGTAGAACATAACAGAAATAACAGACATAACAGACACTAACAATAAGCGCTTTTCTAGAAGCACTTGTTTGAAAGTACTTGTTTGAAAGTACTTGTTTGAAAGTACGAAGTACGATGTAAGTACGAAATTTCCGTACTCTCTAACCATTTCGTCAGCATAAAATCCCATTTACTAACCTCAAACGAGTCTTGACCGGGCGGGACGAAGAGCGGTTTGTTGTGATCGGTGCTTATTCCCTGAAATGCTTTACGCGAATTACAATTTACACTTTACTCGAAATGCGAAATGCTAAAAGTTTAATTTCATTTAGTTTCCAGATAAATTAAAGTTCTTTTTGTCTATTTTTGTTTAGATTTTTTATTTAAAACCTTGCTGTTTGCTGTGGAAAACGCGAGATGACTCAAAAGAGCTCGTCCACGAACGGCGAGGTTCTCCATTTTTGACGAGTAGAACTGCAAAAATTGAATTACAAATGACAGGATTAAAGATTAAAGAAGGAATTGATTTTATTAGATTAACAAATTGAAAGTTGATACACTTATTCATTGCACTTTTTAGATGATAACTAGTGCACAAATTAATCTACAGTTTCGAACAATAAGCAGGTCCATTTCTTCTCTTTTCAGAAGAGATGAACAAACAGACAAACAGACAGACAAACAGACTTTTGACAAATTTAGAAAGACTTCGATTATCTTGATTTCTAGGAGGCAAAAAGTTTAGAAACCAAAAATGATGAACACTTGATGAAGCAATTGCGATGAGCACCTTCTTTCACATGAACCTATTTTGATGTTAATACAAAAAAGATAGAGCACAAAAAGTTACCGTAAATACTGTAATAGTACCCCACCCCCCTCGTACAGTCGCGTAGTCGCAAAGTTTTTTAGTATTTCATTTTTTTCAAAGCGCCCGTACTTTCAAAAAAATGCGTCTTTGGTATCAAAAAATAGCTGAAATTCAGGGCTATTTTTTGATACCTAAACGCGCATTGTAGCATAAACCAGTGTCGAGAAAAACTCGTTCAAAGCTCGACTACGCAACACTCCGTACCGTCATTATCGGGGGTGGGGTACTATTACAGTATTTACGGTAGGTATATAGCCAAATTTTTACTTATTTATTAGGTTGATGCAAAAGTCTTTTTCATTTTTTTTCGTACTTCTTTTGAAAAATAAAAAAGTCATCAATTAACCTATGGTTTGCTCTAAATGAAAAGTGTTTATTGTTGAATTTCCCATCTTTTTAAGTCAATTTGGGTTCACTTTCAAGCAAATTCGAGAGTGATAAACGGGTTTTTCATAAAAATCTATAAAAACCTCTATAAAGAAATTGGCTGAATCAATTTCTCTGAAAATCTGAAAAAATATCGAACTTTTTGTGCTCTATCTTTTATTTATTAACATCAAGATTGGTTTCCTTAGCTAAAGCGTCTAAAATGCATCATCGAGTCGTCGCCTTTTTTGACTACCCGACTTCAGGCTCTCAAAAAAATCTAGACATAAGACATTTTAAACTCGTTTTAATGTCATTTTGCAGAAAAAATAATTGGCCTTTCGAATGCAATAAACCGTTGTTCAATTGGTGCATTTGTTACTTTTCAACGGAAGTACGAAAAAAATGAAAAAGACTTTTGCATCAACCTAATAGTTCAAATTTTCTTAAAAAACTTCACGAAAACTTTTGAATCATTCTGTAATGACTTACCAACAAATTTGCGGCGTAATGATGCGCGAGAAAGCGCATCGCTTTGCAAATTTGGCGGCGATCATCGGATTCGAAATTCTGAAATTCAAGAAAGGATTTATTTAAGAAAGAATCTCTTCAAGAAAGGATTTATTTTATTCTCAAAATAGTTCTTACTTGAAACTCATCATATTTTGCGCCAACAAAAGCGATCGGAATCGGGAATGGATCACAAAGAGTAAGATCCTAAACATCTTTACTGATAAAAAGTGATATTTAAGAGAAAATGATGTGCTTTTTGGGTAGTAGAGGAAAGTTGGATTCAATAACTTTAAAACTTTCAATTCAATTCAATCTAGTTTTTAATTTTTAATAATCTCCTCTTCCTTGCGATCTCTTCCTTGCGATCTCTTCCTTGCGATCTCTTCCTTGCGATCTCTTCCTTGTGACCTCTTCCTTGTGATCTCTTTCTTGCGATCTCTTCCTTGCGATCTCTTCCTTGTGATCTCTTCGTTTGCCCAGAAGATTGACAGAATAAAAAATGATTGAAGAAGATTTATGACGAAGATTGTCATGTTTTTATAGGTCTTTAAGTTTAAGAGATTTCTTATATTACGGAAATCATCGAGAATATCATTTGATTTGAAATTATAATCAATCAATAAATCAATTTCCAATTTGTCGTCCCATTCACAATCATTGGCATCTCGTTTGCGATGATTTGGATTTTTTTAAAGGGACTTGAACAGGTGGAAACAGTAAAGTCCTCCACATTCACTTCATTTTATTCTAGGACTTCTCAGCTCGTGGCTCTCACTCGATTCAATGCGATACTGCCCGAAGCGTTTACTACATATGTTGGTCATCATGGTTTGCCTATTCGATATGTGCTGGAATGGTTTGTCTATTCGTTATTTGCTGGCATGGTTTGTCTATTCGTTGTGCTGGCATGGTTTGTCTATTCGTTGTGCTGGCATGGTTTGTCTATTCGTTGTGCTGGCATGGTTTGTCTATTCGTTGTGCTGGCATGGTTTGTCTATTCGCTGTGCTGGAATGGTTTGCTTATTCGCTGTGCTGGCAAGGTTTGTCTATTCGCTGTACTGGAATGGTTCGCCTATTCGCGATGCTGGCATGGTGGCTTATTCGCTGTGCTGGCATGGTCTGTCCATTCGCTGTGCTGGCATGATTTGCCTATTCGCGATGCTGGAATGGTTTGCCTATTCGCTATGTGCTCAATGCCCTGTAAGTACTGATTTTCTACTTTGCAACTTTGACAGCATTTAAAACTTTGAAACACTTTCACCTCATAAAGCAATCTAGAGCACTGTCTTCAACTCACAGGCCAGGAAAGGCTTGAGTTATGCAGGAAAATAGTAAGAAATAGTAAGAAATCTCAAAATTTCTTGGTAAATGTTATCATATTGTTTGTCAAAGTAAAACCCACTGAATGGCCAGCAATTCTTGCTTTAGCATTTGCCAATAATCGATCGTGAACAGTCGGAGTTAAACGGTTTACTTCACGCAAAACGTCGTTGATTCGAGCACGAGTTCCTTGATCAAATTGATCAATTTGATTCAAATTTGATTCAAAAAACCAAATCAAATTTGATTATTTAATAAAATAAAGTCAAATAATCAAATTTGATCAAATAAAGTCTAATCTAAAACTTTTCAAATCTTTGAATCTTTGAATTTCAAACAACAGAACTCTAAAAACGTTTTCAAAGTACTCAAGGAGCACTTTGAAAGTACTCGATGAGCACTTTCTTTCACATAAACCTATTGGGTTGGGGAGAATGAGTCGGCGCCCAACTTTGAAGAGACTTTTTGCACGCATAAAGCCTTCTTTAAACATACGTTTGGTTTCATCAAAAGGATCCACTATTTCTCTACAAAATCACTTTTGAGAGATTCCACAAAGCTTTTCTTTCGTGGAGTTTATGAACTTCCAAACGCAGCTGGTTAAAATGGCAAAGAGTCCGACTCATCATTTGAACAGTTTCTTTCACATAAACCTTCTTTGGTGTTTATATAAAAAAGATAGAGCACATTCAATTACTTAAGTTGCCAAATTTGCAGGAAGATCCCACCAATGGTTTTTTCTAGATCACAGTTTGTAGTTTTTGTGAAAAAATGGCTTTTTCTTGAGCGGAGGCGCTGTTTGAATTTTCTTTTAAATGTGATTTTGTAGAGAATTAGTTAACCATTCTACTCATATCAAACGCATATTATTTGACAAAGTCGAATAGAAGTTTTAGACTTTTTTTTGATTTTCGGCGCCGACTCATTCTCCCCAACCCAATATTTTGATGTTAATAGAAAAAAGATAGAGCTCAAAAAGTTAGGTATCTAGCCAAATTTTCAGCTAAATCTATTCCACTGAGCACTTTCTTTTCACATAAACCTATTAGGGTGGTGCAAAAGAAACTCCTGATGGGTATCAGCTCTCATTTATCAGAAACAAGCGATGCTAACGGCATTATTTTTTTATGTTTTGTTCGCATATTTGTTTGCTATTTATTTCGACATTTGAATTTTTTGGTTATTGTTTATTTTATTTAAAAATGCTTATATTTTTTTTATTTAGATCATGGTCGAGCAAAAGTTTGTGCTAAGAGGAGCATTACTACGAGGAGCATTACTACGAGGAGCATTACTACGAGGAGCATTACTACGAGGAGCATTACTACGAGGAGCATTACTACGAGCAGCATTACTACGAGCAGCATTACTACGAGCAGCATTACTACGAGCAGCATTACTACGAGCAGCATTACTACGAGCAGCATTACTACGAGCAGCATTACTACGAGCAGCATTACTACGAGCAGCATTACTACGAGCAGCATTACTACGAGCAGCATTACTACGAGCAGCATTACTACGAGCAGCATTACTACGAGCAGCATTACTACGAGCAGCATTACTACGAGCAGCATTACTACGAGCAGCATTACTACGAGCAGCATTACTACGAGCAGCATTACTACGAGCAGCATTACTACGAGCAGCATTACTACGAGCAGCATTACTACGAGCAGCATTACTACGAGCAGCATTACTACGAGCAGCATTACTACGAGCAGCATTACTACGAGCAGCATTACTACGAGCAGCATTACTACGAGCAGCATTACTACGAGCAGCATTACTGTTTAACTTCAGCATTACTGTTTAACTTCACAATTGGAAAGTCTGCTGCCGAATCGCATCGTTCTCTCTGTGCTGCTTTCGGAGATGGTAGTTTGTCTCTCAGGCAGTGTCAGACTTGGTTTCAACGATTCCGAGAGCGAGACGAGGCTTTGGAAGATTACGAGCACGGCTCGAGGCCAGAAGTCGTGAACGAAGCCAAGCTGAGAAACGTTATTCAGGCCGATCCATGCCAATCTGCTCGAGATCTTGCGAAAATATTCCATTGTGATCATGTCACCATCGAACGCCATCTTTTTTTTTGAATTTACCGTCAAATCGGCAGTTTCTTTTGCACCACCCTAATATTTTGATGTTAATTTTTTGCTATAAATGTTCAATTGACTTACAATTTGACTTCTTTTTATAATAGTTTAACAGTAGATTTACAAATTGAATGCTTTTTCTTCAATAAATTACTAACCTTCAATTAGCTTCTCTGCCGTAATCCATAACTCGTGCGGTTTTGTAAGATCAAGAACGATGACAAGGGAAGCAATTCTTTAAAAGTAAAACAATGCTTTAAAAATTAAAGTCTTACTTTTAAAGGTCAAAAGAAATGATTCTAATTTCTCCGAAGCAAGTAAATTACTCAAAATTACTCAAATTTCAATCGAAAACCAATTTAAAAATACTAGTTTCAAAAGAAATTAGCTTAATCTGGAAGCTGAGAGGGTAATTGTAAAGTGTAGTTCTTGTTTCTTCTTCATTTTCTTCCTAAATTCTTCCCAAACTCATTAGATAGATCTACAATTGTAAAAATCTTAAAATTTGAGGGCAAAACTTTAAAATCCTTCTGTTTTCTTTGTCAGAAACTTTTCTGCACCCAATTCATCGCTTCAAAGCGATTTGAAGCGATGAATTGGGTGCAGAAAAGTTTCTTTCGATATGGTATCACTTGAAATAAACCACTAGCGAAAGAATCTTTTAAATAGAAACAATCTTCTAGATATTGGGTTTGATAATTTTGCCCTCAAAGCCTCAAAAAGCTTACTCAATATTCTGTGGAGTGAGTGGAATGGAGAGAAGCGATGAAAGCCTCGAACCACCGCCCAACTCCCATAAATGTCCAACGTCTTTATTCTAAAAGCAACATTAACTTTGTTTACCATTTTTTCAAGTATTTTTGTTGTTAAAGATCACTTCAGAAAGGTTTTCTCTCAAAATTTTCAATTTTAAAGTTCAAAAAGAAAGGTACCATTAGGTAAAAGAAAAAGGAAATTGAATTGAATAAAATGAAAGCAAAAATTTGTGACGTAAAAGGAATTGAACTTCGTAAAAGGAAAAAGCATAACTTGTTTCTGATACAAGCCTCTTATCCACTAGGCTATCTTCTAATACAATTCTTTTAACCATTAGGCTATTTGCTAGAGAAGCGCGACTTAAATAGATATACTAAAAATGTTCTTTTTTGCCAAATATCTTGCGTTACAGACACGGAAAAACTAAAATTTGGTTCTTTTTTTCTAGATATTCGGCTTCATGGAAATTTTGTTCCTTTTCTCTACAAATTTGGTTCCTTTTCTGGTTTTTAGGCTGATTCCTCATTGGAATCAGCCTAAAAACTGCACAAGATGAGCTAGGTCTCATTTATAACGAGATCTAGCTCAATAAAAACTCAAAAGTAGCTTAAGGTGATCTAGCTCAACCGTAGCCATATGGTGAACTGGTTTCCAAGACTGGTTTCCAAGACTGGTTTCCAAGACTGGTTTCCAAGACTGGTTTCCAAGACTGGTTTCCTAGGCCCCTTCCCTGCGTCCAAATGGGCAAACTTGTCTAAGGCGCAAGCTTATATAAAGCGGGTAGCCTTCTCCTCGTACATCGTTCCCTACATTGTCCCATCCTCATAAACGATAGAATATTCCCCTAGGTGTTAATGTGTAAGTTGTGATTACCGTATTTTCTCTAATAGTAGTGCACCCCGGTGAGCCGAGTTAATGACTATTTTACGGCTTTCAAAGTTTCCCCAGAAGCTCAACACTCAAATCCCCCACTAGATCTCATCGTCAGCTACATTTTTCGACCCCACATCAATAGGTTCTGATAAGCGGCTCTCGAGATTTCGAGCAATTAACAATTTAGGCGACGCTCGACGCTTATTATTATTATTATGCCTACTTTCATTGTTTGGCTTACCCAAATTAAACCATTTAAACCAAATATTGTACTTGATTGTTAAATAAAATGGATAAAAGATTTAACGATAAAGAAATAGATTGAATATTTGAAATTAATTGTTTAAAGAATTGCTCTTTCAATCTTACATTTCCTCTTGTCCTTCTCCCGTACGTGTATTCCAAACCGATCGTCATCTTTGGGTTCTCATTTCGCTCGAGAAAACGAAGAATCAACGAGGATTTCCCCTAAAATCTTTCCTTTATCATTTTTTAAACAAAAAACAAACAAAATTTCACTATTAATGAATAATATTAGGCTTTCAAATGTTAATTGATAATATTTGACTGCTCAGAAAGTCTTTTCATTCCTTTTCGTTTCTTTTTATACTTCCATTTCAAAACAAACAAACCCACTAAACAAATCCATTAAACAAATCGTTTATTTCATTAAAAAGCTACTTATTTTTCTGAAAAATAACTTGAATTGCTTTTTCTGGTTGAATAAAATTGAAACTCACGCAATTTTGACTCCCACAAATGATCACCACTGATTCATGGCGACGCTTGATTTCATTTACTGGAAAAGAAAGTGTAAAGATTGCTATAAAAGATTGCTATAAAGAAAGAAAGAAAGAAAGAATGAATATTTCTAAAGAAAGGAATCATAAAGTTTATTAATTTAAAGCTACAAATCACTTTCTATCTCCCAGTCTATTTCCCAATCACAAACCACTCATCGCATTCCCATCATCCTCCAATTTCTCATCGATTTCCATAGCTTTCTCTTGATTTTCCCGGAGTTTCTCCTTGGCCAACTCCCAAATATTCAATGAGGTCATTACTAAAACAATAATAAACAATAATAAACAATAAATAAACAATAATAAGCAAAATATCGCTTTAAGTTAATTAATTAATACCCTAAAGTCGCGAGTATAAGTTCTGTTTGGTATTCGCATGCAAATTGACGGCTGTCTCCGGTGCGGTGTGTCGAGGGTTCGAACCCCGCTGCAGCATAACTTTTTGCCTTTTAAGAACAATAATAGAAGTAAATTTATTGAGGGTTATAGCAAGGTTATAGCAATTTTATGCAGTTATTTGTTGCTCCGGGCGTGGCTCGGCGCGTCCGCCCTGCTCCTCTCCGGTGCTCATGGATCCGCCCTATGGATCCGCCCTATGGATCCGCCCTATGGATCCGCCCTATGGATCCGCCCTATGGATCCGCCCTATGGATCCGCCCTATGGATCCGCCCTATGGATCCGCCCTATGGATCCGCCCTATGGATCCGCCCTATGGATCCGCCCTATGGATCCGCCCTATGGATCCGCCCTATGGATCCCTCCCTGGCCTCTTGATCCGGCCAAAGTCCACGTCGACGGTCGAAAGAGATGCTTTCCAGCGTCTTCTTCAACACTATCGTCTGGATGTATCCATGCACATAACAATGGTGATAGGCTGTCACAAACAATGGTGATAGGCTGTCACCCTGTAGTATCCCGCGCTCCAAGAACAATAAAGTTTATATAACAATAAAAGTTTATATAACAATAATGTATAAAAACCCAACAAAAAGAAATTCAAAGCAATTAAAGCGAATGTAAATTAAGGCAGAACTTATACTCGGATGAATTTATACTCGAGACTTTAGGGTAATACTGTTTTAAATGTCATAAATGTCATGAAAATTTATGACCGATCTCATTGGAAATTGCTCAATTTTAACACGTTGACGACAATGACGTTTTTGCACAAACAATTGCATGGGACAACGTTGTTTTTTTTCGACAAAAAATGTCACCTGACATCAGGTGACAATGTCCCAGGCGAACGAATATGTGTCAGACAGCATCAGGTGACAATGTCGTCAACGTGTTAACATCAAATTCTCTATTAAAATCAACTTGATTTAATTGTTAATCAAATTTTGAAACAATAAAGAAATAATGTAAAGAATTAACATAATAAACATTAATTAGATATCTTAATTAGATAATTAGAACTTTTAACTTTTAGTTGCTTTAAGCTTTAAGCTGCATTACATTGGCTGCATTACATTGACTAAATAAAACAAATTCTTTGTATTCTTGCGTTTCCATGACAACTATACAAATTCCCTAACCGCCAAGAGAAAACATTCAAACATCCAAAAAAAAGAGAAAGCAATATTTGTAGATTATAATAAATATTAAAGAATTGCTTTTCAATTTTACATTTCCTTTTGTCCTTCTCCTTCTCCTTCTCCTCCTTTTGTTCTTCTCCTTCTCCAAACGATTATCATCTTTGGGTTCTCGTTTCGCTTGAGGAAAACGAGAATCAATGAGGATTTTCTCTAAAAGTCTTGTTGAGGTCAGACTCATCAGGTCAGACCAAGTGAGATAAACTAGATAAAAGTCAAAACAGACGATCTATTTGGCAAGATTTGTATTCTTGCGTTTCCATGACAACTATGCAAATTCCCTAAAAACTATACAAATTCTCTAACCGCCAAGAGAAAACATTCAAACATCCAAAAAAAAAAGAAAGCAATATTTGTAGATTATAACTAGTATTAAAGAATTGCTTTTCAATTTTACATTTCCTTTTGTTCTTCTCCCGTACATGTATTTTTAATTTTCAGAAAAAAGAGCAAACTAGCGGCAGTCAAAATCCTGCGACAATGTGAAGAGCTTTTTGTTGTCGCCAAGTCTGTCCAAGCAAGTGAACCAGATTTTAAATGATTTTCTTCTATTTCCTTTCTCTTTCCTCTTTCTCTTTCCCTTTCTTCCCTTTCTATCTTCTTTCTCATTCTCTTTCTCTGTCCTCTTTCTCTTTCTCTTTCTTCCCTTTCTATCTTCTTTCTCTTGCTATCTTCTTTCTCTTTCTCTTTCTTCTCTTTCTATCTTCTTTCTCTTTCTTCTCTTTCTATCAGTGATAAAATGGTAAAGCAACAGCCTAATCCAGAAGATCCGAGTTCGATCCTTGTTGACTACTCTTTCTTTGACCTCCTTTTGAACTTTAGTTAAGTTAAAAGGTATTAAAAGTATCATACAACCTCAATCTCTTATCTATTCTTATCTCTTACCCAAAATCTATTCAACCCAACAAACCCTACAGGCTTGTTTCAATATCTTTAAGGCTACAGGCTTGTTTCAATATCTTCAATCTTTCAATATCTTTAAGTAAAGCAAAAGCAGCTACTTTTTGTTCTCTAGCTAACAGAATACTAACTGAATAAGCTATTTTGTTTACGATTTACTTTCGGTTTACTTAAAAGGTAACTTAAAAAGTTTACTTTACGGTTCAAATTCAAAACGAAATCTGATTTCATCGTTATCTTTAGGTTGACAAATCGCTAAAGATCAATAGAAAAGAAGTGAAAGTTGAATAAAATAGTTCAATTTTAAAGGTTTTTAAATTTAAAAATGATTAAATTTGTTAAAAATCAAACAAATTAACAATTATTTTTGAAATTTCTATAAAAAATTGTTGTCAAAACAATTTTGTTCTCCATAGGTAAAATTAAAATTCTCCTTTCAGGAGGTCGAGTTCGAGGGATGCGCGAAGAACATCACCCAATATTTGCCGGCTCATTGGACGATTGTCACGCCGGAAATTGTCATTTTTCCAAATCAAAGCTTGATTTTGTCTTTTTTTTTCAGCAGCACTGCAGTCAAAATGCAAAAAAAGGGGGAAAGAGAAGGAAAAAGAAAAGAAAAAGAAAAGAAAAATAGATTTTGTTGTAGAATTTTGTAGTGTAGAATGTAGAAAATTGATTGCTTTTTCATTAAATAAAGATCTGATGGGAAAATGAAGCTAAAAAGACCGTTTCTATCAAAAAAAAAGTTTCTCTCAAAATTGTCATGTTTCAAGTTTGCGAATTTTGATTGATAAGTTTGACAGATAATAAAGAATCGACCGACGTTTATTCAAGTTTTGTACAAAAAAAGGTTTGGTATCGAAATCACACTTTTGGTATCGTAATTTAAACAAAAACCTCCAAATCTTTTGATCGTTTTTTGACGAAAGCAAAATCGGTGACAACGGCAAAGTGATCGGATGGATAATCGTTTTGTTTATGATTTGGAATTGGCTTGATCGGCTCGGTGCCCCCGTAGATTTGTGATCTGAAAATGGGGATTGAGTCGACTCAATCGACCCAATCGACTCAAAGATCGACTCAATCGACTCAATCGACTCAAATATCGACTCAATCGACTCAATCGACTCAAAGATCGACTCAATCGACCCAATCGACTCAAAGATCGACTCAATCGACCCAATCGACTCAAAGATCGACTCAATCGACTCAATCGACTCAAAGATCGACTCAATCGACTCAATCGACTCAAAGATCTTCTCAATCGACCCAATCGACTCAAAGATCGACTCAATCGACTCAATCCCTGTTTCCTAAAACGTGTCCCTTTCTCTTTCTACCATAACCTTGTTTCTCGATTTTATTCAGTCTAATTTTGATTCAATGGAGGTAGGTATAGAGCTGATACAGAGCTGATATAGAGCTGCTATGGAGCTGATATAGAGCTGATATAGAGATGATATAAAGTTGATATAGAGATGATATAGAGCTGATATAGAGATGATATAGAGTTGATATAAAGCTGATATAGAGCTGATTTTTGCATCAAAAATTACAGCTTACAGAGAGTTTTTCTCTTTGCGGTGAGTTTGTTTATATTTTTGCTAGAAATTTTCCTGTAATATCTTTTCTAAATATCTTTTCTATTCTTACCTTTATTGAAATCCAAATTAGATTAAATAAAATTAGATAAAAGCTGGAAACAAGTTTACGGGAAAAGAGAAAGGGCATGTGTTTTAGAAAACGGATCGAGAACGGCACTGAACTCTTTGCTAAATTCTATAAATCTGGTGTAGTTCTTGGTACGGTTGAAACGTCTAACTTGGCAAGCTTTGAACTCACCGAATCGGCTTGAGTCCACCACGATAGAAAATGAAATCGATTCGGTCCTGTGGCTCGGGAATGACGAAATCGTATTCACTGTTAAACTTGTTGCAAGTCGACCAGGTGTACGCTGAAATTACTGTGTTTCAAAGACAATATATAAATTAAATTGATGAACTGATGAACGTTTTGTGTCGGCTTGAAAGCATTCGACGCAGAATTTTACGCTGATTCCAATGATCAAAACTTTTATGTTAGTTCGGCGGTGATTACCCACCATTCGGTCGCTAATTTTTACGTCATTGGAATCAGCGTAAAATTCTGCGTCGAATGGTCTGTTTAAGGCTTTAAGGCATCTGTTTAATATATAATATCATTGGAAAAGCTCTATATATCAAAGACCACGAGGCCCAATCATCCTTTCCTTGTTAGTCTTTTTGCTACAAGCTTAGGCTACAAATTCTGCATCCTGTTAAACCATTGTGTTACTTAAGCAGCAGCTAAACTGGGAGAACAATGCGATCCAAAAACTGCATCTTCGCCGATTCGCTTTAATACTGAACTGTCCACTTTGAGAGTTTAACCGTTTTGAATACAATCCCATATTTCTAGTAGATTTTCATGCTTGATTTCTTGATTCTCTTGCCATGCTTGGTTCTCTTGCCATGCTTGGTACTCTTGCCATGCTTGGTTCTCTTGCCACGCTTGGTTCTCTTTCCACGCTTGGTTCTCTTTCCATGCTTGGTTCTCTTGCCACGCTTGGGTCTCTTGCCATGCTTAGCTCTCTTGCCATGCTAGGATCTCTTGCCATGCTTGGTACTCTTTCCATGCTTGGTTCTCTTTCCATGCTTGGTTCTCTTTCCATGCTTGGTTCTCTTTCCACGCTTGGTACTCTTGCCATGTTTGGTTCTCTTGCCTGGATCCTCCACTGGACTCGGGTAGAGCGCCCGAAATGAGTCGATGAAGCCGAAATCGATCAACTCTTTCGTGGCTGGCCACGGGACCGCCCAACCACCGTGGATTGATCTGGAAATTGGGGAATTTTAAATTCTCAAGTTTTGTTTTAGAATTACCTAGTCGAGATTTTACAAAATATTTCCGTTTCTTCACTAAGGAGTGAAGAAACGGAAATATTTTGTAAAATCTCGACGGCTACCAAATTGCTACCCAATTCCATGTCAAAACCACTGTTTACTTGTTGATTTTGAGTTTCAAATTTGTCTTATTTTTATTCTGGCTTTTTAAATTATTCTGACACCCTGTTTCTTAAAGCAAAAACATTCAGAATTCGGCGAAAAATAGCCTAGTGCTCACGTTGTCTCATCGGTCCAATCCAGGTGACTTGGACTGTTGAAGTCACCGGCGACAATCATCGGGATCTTGTCCTCCTCTTTCAGTGCTTCAGCCATCTCAGGACTGCTGAGAATCGTTTGAATGTCCGCTGCTCGGCCTGCAATTGTTTTAGATCGATTTTAGTTATATTAGGCTCTCCAGAAAGTCTTTTCGTTCCTTTTCATACTTCACTTTTGAAAAATAACAAATTTACCAATTCACCTATGGTTTGCTCTAAATAAAAAGTGTTTCTTTTTCAATTTCGCATCTTTTGAAGTCAATTTGGGTTCACTTTCAAGAAAATTCGAGAGTGTTTTTCGTAAAAATCTTTAAGAACCTCTAGGAAGAAATTGGCTGAATCAATTTCTCTAAAAATTTGGCTATATACCTAACCTTTTGTGCTCTATCTTTTATCTATTGACATCATGATAGGTTTCCTTAACTAAAGTGTCCAAATCGCATTATCGAGCTGCCCTTTTTGACTAGCCGACTTCACGCTCGAAAAAATCCAGACATAAGACCTTCGAAACCCGTTTTAATATTATTTTGCAGAAAAATAATTTGCCTTTCTAATGAAACAAACCGTAGTTGAATTGGTGCATTTGTTGGTTTTAAACGAAAGTACCAAAAGAAACGAAAAGACTTCCTGAACAGCCTAATATTTAGATTATGAGTGAACTCAAGACCTAATCAAGCTTTCTTTAGTCACACTGGCACCACTGCGATTCGCACAGAAGATCTGCGAACTCCCGCCGATTCGGCTCAACTGGCGGTGCGATTTTAAGATTGTTTTACCTTTTACAAGTTTTTTTGGTTTTTATATGTATTTTTTAGACTCTCGAAACCCTCTTTAAAGCGGTGAAAGAAGTAGAAGAACATTGGAGAGAGCATTTACCGATGTGAGTTTTGTTTGCCAGTATTTCGAGGATACCGATTTGTGTGGTACTTATCAGCTTCTTTTCAGTCTCCTTGGCAAAGGCGTCGATCCACAACCGTTTCTCCTCGTCGAGGCTTTCGATTCGCATCTGGATGTGGTGATCTCGGAAATGATGAACGAAAAAGCCACCATTGATCAACTCAGAAAGTGAGGGATTTTTGAAAGTTTGGATGTTTCAAAAGGATAGCAGAATAGCAAAGTTTTCCACCAGGAAGCTCACTGTTTTTGCATCGACCTGTGTTTACCCTTTTTCTGAAGATCGATCTGAAGTAGAAGAACATTGGAGAGAGCATTTACCGATGTGAGTTTTGTTTGCTAGTATTCTAGTATGCTAGTATTTCGAGGATACCGATTTGGATCAACTGGCGGTGCGCTTTTAAGATTGTTTTACCTTTAAAAAGGAATGAAAAGACTTTCTGAGCAGTCAAATATTATCAATTAACATTTGAAAGTCTAATATTATTCATTAATAGTGAAATTTTGTGAAAGTACAAAAAGGAATGAAAAGCTAAAGCCGAAAAGACTTTCTGAAGAGCCTAACCCAGAATGCAGCATTGATAGTGTTGCGTGATGCATCTGTTTGATTTTTTTAAGATAATACATTAACCTAAGCTGAAAAACAAGAATTCATCCTAAATCTAGGCCTAATTTTGCATAGAATAGAAGAACCGTAGCATTTTTAATGACTTTAACAACCCTAGCCAAGCGGTACAAAAAGTGCTATCGGCAGGCTGCTGAAAAACAGTTAAATTCGAGTTTGAGCTCTAAAAAATCGTCTTTTTTCATCTTTTTCTGGATTAATATGTTTTTAGAGTTAATTACTATAGAAGTAAAAGTAATCTGATATTTTAAAAGCTATAAAAACGATTCCTAAATGATTCTAAAACTGTTTTTCCTTTTTTTCTTCTGAAATTTGTCCTTTAAAGCTTCTTTATAGTTCTTTTATAGTTCCTTTCAGGTTCTTTTATAGCTCCTTTATAATTCCTTTATAGTTCCTTTAAAGTTCTTTTATAATTCCTTTATAGTTCCTTTATAGCTCCTTTATAGTTCCTTTATAGTTTGCTTTTTAAGCTTCATTATTGCAAATTTGCGGCCATCTTGACTAGCAAAAATGAGCACATTTTTGATAAATTTCATTTTTTGAGAGCAGCAATTTTTTTAATCAAAAAGATTTCAATTTTTTCAATTCCAGATGATGTTTTGATTAATTTAAAAAGCCTATATCCAGTTTTGACCATGAAACAAGTAAAATTTCAGTTTCAGTGATTAGATGATCGAACCTGCTTTGTGCCAGTGCTCGGCGGTGATGATTTGCGAAAGATTGGTGACCATTTTGTTGTAAGCAGCATATGGGCCATAAGCTCTGAATTCCTTGACTTTTTCACGTTAAGATGCATGAGTTTTCGACATTTAAAGGCGCAAATGATGTACTCATTAAAATGTTTAGAAATTTGAAAAGAGCAAATTTTTTTAATTACCTTTGAGAAATGGATTGCCTCGCTTTTTCCATGCGAATTTTGAGTTAAGTTGAAACTTGGAAATTAAAAAAAAAACAATTCAACCATTTTAGACAGTTTTTAAGCTTCTAAATGTTTTTTTGATCATTTGAATCAAATAATTTTTAGAAAATTGCAAATTTAGTAATATTTGAATAGCTGTAACTCAATGATTGGCTGCGTGGACTCCCCAGTTACAGCTGTAGTAATATTTGAATAGCTGTAACTCAATGATTGGCTGCGTGGACTCCCAAATGATCTTTTTGGAAATTTAGTAATCTTTTAATAGCTGTAACTCACTGATAGGCTGCGTGGACTCCCCAAATGTTCAACCGTGAGCCTGTGGGGAATTCGATTTGCGCGTACAGTGAAGCCGAATCGCTGGGGGCAACGAAATCGATGACCTTTAAATGAAACAGAATTAGACAGAGAAATCTATGTAAAAAAGTTTTGTACTAGATTAGAGTTTTCAATTGATATCAAAGCCTTGGCCACAAAAACCTTCAATTTGGTTTCATGTGACTCAGCCTAATAAAAGTATATTTATTTATTCGAAAGCTGTGTTCGTGCTCTCATTAACCATACTTTTAAATTTTGTTGAAAATAATGCTCAAGACGATGCTAAAAACGCCTTCGCCGACTTTATCGCCTCCAGAACCGCGGACTTCTATGCGAGCGGCATAAATAAACTCGTTTCTCGTTGACAAAAATGCGTTAATTGTAATGGTTCTTATTTCGATTAATCAAGTTTTGTTTGGACCAAGTTATGGGATTTTAAATATTCGAGTTGAAAACGCGCATTTATTTCCGGACAACCTGATAAAAACTCTAATCTCTAACTCTAGAAGGCTTCCATTAGAGTTTAGAGGCTTCTATTAGAGTTTAGAGGCTTCTATTAGAGTTTAGAAGCTTCTATTAGAGTTTTTATTAGGCATTAGATATTTATTAGGCCTTTCCTTACATTTAGGGCTTAGCTTTTGTGCTTGTACATTGTTTGTACCATATTATTTGTGTGATTAAATGTAAATTCCCTGCCAATTTCCCTACCTTATGCTTTGTGATGATGTTCGCATCGGGATACTCGCGATCCGGCGTGACAATCGTCCAATGAGCCGGCAAATATTGGGTGATGTTCTTCGCGCATCCCTCGAACTCGACCTCCTGAAAGGAGAATTTTAATTTTATCTATGGCTTAGGCTCCGACGCCGAGTGTGACTCCTCCTGTGTGAAAACAGAAGTTCGCTTAAAACTATAGGTGGCAGGCTTGCACGATGCCCCGTACACCCCACTGGCTATGTGTGCTTTTCAGACAACTGTGTACGAAATGGCAAGGTGAAGCCGCTAGACGTTTTGGTTGACAATTTTCTCACCCAGAAAGGGGCCACTAGCTCGGACTAGAGAAAGGGGCCACTAGCTGTGTCATCGACTCGGATTGAAGTTAGGATTTAGCCTTAATAGATTTAGCCATTAAGGTCAAATGTTATTTTCGTAAGCAGACCCTTTCGTAACCCTTGATTACCCTAAGAAAAAGTGTTTTAAAATGGAAACACAAGCGCCAATAGAGCTGAGACTAGAATCTATAGCTTGTCTGTCGTTTTATTTTGCACAGATCTGGTCAAGTAACTTTACCACTGCGCAAATTTAGTTTCAAAATTTCAATTCAAAGGTAATTGTGGCATGTCAATTCTATTTTCGCACTTGTTTTGTCTGTTTTCTAAATGGTGCTCCCTGGGCGCAAAAGTTTTTCTAGAGAAGAGGGGTAGGCTAGTTTCTTTCTAGTTTTTTTGCGCAACTAGATCATTTGCACAACTGAGTCCTTTTGCGCAACTCGCCATAACTTTCTTCTAAGTCGGCTCAATCATAGGATTGGCTCAAAGATTGGCCATCTTTATGATTGAAAAGTCGGCTATTTTACAGAGAGTGTGAAAAGTTTTGACGGTATTGTTATGGCAGTTGAAACGCTGTATTTTTGTCGTATATTTATTCTTTTTTTCCTTGGTTTTATTCTTCTATAATGTTTACTTTAGTTTTAATCAGAAAACAATTGTTTAACTCTTTTTTTTAGATGATGACGGGTCGGGAGAAGAAAAGAAACACGATTTTGGAGTTGCACAAGCAGAAGATGAAGAAGACATACAAAGAAGCTTATTGAGAACCTAACTTGTAACATAAGCTTTTGCAAAAGCTCTCGTTTCGGGGTTAGGCTAATTTCCGCCATTTTATTTACGGATCATTTGCGATCAAATCATTTTAAACTGGATCATTGCGCAACTCATCATTACTTTCTTCTAAATCGGTCAATTTTTATGATGTTGGTGTCATTTTGTTGCACTTATTGAGATCTAAAAAATGAAACCAAAATCATAAAGATTGGTCAACTTAGAAGAGAGTTATAGCGAGTTGCGCAAAAGGACCCGCAAATGACCATGAGCCTACCCCGAGAAGAGGAATCAGTTGCGCTTTTCGGAAGGTTCCTTTCCCACCTTACCGCTTTGTGGATTTCTTTTGTGACAAGAGCATAAAGAGGCTTCTTTATGTAAGAACATGAAGAAGTTTCTTTATGTAAGAACATAAAGATGTTTCTTTATATTCTTGCATATATCTCCTTACTTTGCCACGTCTTACTTTGCCATTTCTTAGTATTTGGTACCTTTGGAATTTTGCTTATTTTGAACGTATGTTTTCGAACGTATTGTTTATAATTCTCAAAAGGCTTTCTGAAAGCCTTCTTGATTCGTTCATAGTTTTTCTGAATCAGCTTGAGCTATGAGCTTTGTTGTGTTAAAGAGTGCTTGAGGTTGGTCTGCCTACGTCACCACGATTATCATTCAATCCTAGACATCGGGTCGAAACCAATCCCAACGAAATTCTTTAGATGCAACGCTAACTCCAACCTGTAAAGCGACGATATCCGGATTGACAAGCGCTATGTGTTTCGCGATTTTCAGCACCCCATTCTCAACGTTCACGCCGCAATTCCAAATGTTGAACGACATCACTCGAATGCTAAATGATTTTCCAATGAAATTTGGTTGGTGCCATTGCAATTAGGGCTGGCGTGGCCTCAGAAAATTTACCTATAGCTGCCTATAAATTTACATTTATAGGCATCTATAGGTAATCGGGCACGCTGAATCCCATAAAAATAATTTCAGCTCTTAGGTCATCATTAAAAGATGTTTTACCGGGAACAACTGTGCATACCGATCGTTGAGCTGCTTCCAATAACCTTTCTAATTTGGGCTATGTGCATAGGACAGTGAATCATTCACAAAATTTCATTAATTCAGTTACTAGCGTCCACCCTCAAGACATCGGGTATCTTTGGAGCCAATTTAAAAGTCAAAACAGGGCATTGGTTGAGCACTGGTTGAAGGGGGAGCTTTGGAATGACAACTTTTACGAAATTCTTTGGAAGTGGCAGAGTAATGATGAGAGTTTGATGTCTTTTGGGAAAAGGTTACTAAGCGTATTACTTTCCTCATTACTTTATTAATATGCTAAGCGTTATCCACTTTATTGCTATGTTAGCTTATTTTCATTTGTTGTCTTTGTTATTAAATAAAATTTGGTACAAAAGTAGGGAAAGCCTATGAAAATCAGGTGCTGAAACGATTTTTCTTGGATTCAGCGTGTCCGTTTGCCTATAGATGCAAATTTTCCGAAGCCGAGGCCTTATTGAGATAACACCATCTGGTTTTTTTTTGCAGATTTCTCTACCTCTCCAAGCCAAACACTGACGAAAAATAGAAAAATGCGGTGAGAGGTCGAAGGATCATTTTGAGAGTCGCTTATTGCAGCTATCGCTTATCGTACCTATCGCTTCCCGTACCTGTAAGCTTGTTTCGATTAAAGTTATTACCGTATTTCCTCTAATAAACGCCCCCCCCCCTTGACCAAGTTTGGACGCTTCGTTCTCAGCTCCATTTGGAGATATTTTTATGTTTAATATATCAAAAGATAGAAGACATTAAGGGCTATCTTTTGATATATTAAACATAAAAATATCTCAAAATGGGGTTGAGAACGAGACGTCTAAAGTTGGTCAGGGGGGCTTTATTAGAGGAAATACGGTAAGTCTTGTGCAGCTGTTTGTGCAGCTAATTTCTTGAGCAACTTCAAATTCCTGAAAAATAGAAACTTTGAAAAGAAAAATTGAAATTTTGCTTTTAAAAACTGGTTTTTTTTTAGTTTACAGTCAAAACAAAAGACTTTTTTCTTTGTTTACAGTCAAAACAAATGAGAAACGAGGAATTTATTGTTGACTACCACCTAGGAATTTATTGTTTAGTTTTCTGAGGAATTTTCTGAGGAAAAGAAAATTTGAAAGCAATTATCAATGCAAAAACAAGCAAATTGATAAATTGATTAAATAAATTCTCAATGCAGAAGAGCAGAGAGCTTTTTCTCAGCTTTGTCAGCGCAAGATCAGCTCAAGAGATTCATCCATTTAGTGAAATCAATCAGTTGAGCGATTAAAATGATAAAACAGACAGAATAGCCTTTGTTAAGGGTCTAAAGAATGCCCATTCTTTGCGATAATCCCCAATTTGCTCATTTTCTCATTTTCCTGATAACATTGACCAAATTAGAACACGAAAAAAGTATTGTTCACTTCAAAAAGTATTATTCATCATTACAAGTTAGACAATTATCTGAAAACCAAAGCCTTATTTTAAGCCTATTAAAAGCCTATTAAACCACTGCTTTGAACAAGTTGAAACATTCTTTTTACAGCATTAAAACCAGTCATCGAAATCAGAAGAAAATCAAAATTTTATTTAGATCAGCTCAAGATCCATCCATTTATTGTAAAAAGCTAGACTAATTAATTTTCAAAATCCAGCCGCATAGTCAACTAAAATGAAACTTTTTGCGGTTAGCTCAAAGCTTTTCTATTTGCTTATCACTGCCGAATGAAATTGAACTTTTGCACTTTCGGATAAAAAAAGATATTCACTCCACAATTCCAGGTAAAAAGTTGATCTCAATTTACCAGCTAGAATTGAGAGAAGTCAAATTTTAAAATGAACAAACTTAAACTTGATTTAAAACTTTGGACTACTTAAGCAATTCCTTTTGCCCAATGATTACGCATTACTTGGTCAGAGTTGTAAGAGATTGGTTCCAGATTGGCAAAAGAGAAACCAGATGCTTGATTTTTTCGTGGAAAAGGTCAAGAAAATTTTTAGGCGTCTTCCGAAAGGTTGTTTCTGACAAAATTTTAATAGTTAAGCTTTAATAGTTTAATAGTTCCTAAAAGCTCGAATCTTTATCCCATCCAAATGATCAACCAAAGAACCAGAAAGAAACCAAATTAATCCGTAACTTCGTTACAGTGAATCACTGCGCTCAGTCTTGGGTGGCCATCGTTCTGTCGAGTTTCACACTCAGCCGAGTCGTCGCACCTAAACGAGAAAGAGTTAGAGTTAAATTTCAGTTTCAGTTCAAGTTTCTAAAATCTCAAAATAGTATAGCTACTCCTTTTGCAAGTTTGAAATCAGCGCTGAATTTTTCAAACCTTGCTTTTTTGTACGATCCGTCTCTCGACTTGTCTCTCGTTTCCTGTCGCGGATCTAAAATGGAAAAATTGTCCTCAAACTGAGCACTCAGAGCCTAAACAATGGCTAACGTGTGCAGGAATTTGATAATAAAATCAATGATCATTTACAGATCGAATCACTTCAAGCAACTTTAACCTCAAAATCTAAACCCTTACCTGATCTCCAACGGTCACCTCGCGACTCATGAAGCGTGCTCGAGCCGGTAAATGGGGTGGTTCCTCCTAAAAAAACAAAAATTTCAGAGTAAACATGAGGATTAACTTAAAATTTCTTTAAAAACAGTACAAACTTTGAATGATTACAAAAGATTGAAAGTAAGCACTGACCTGAGCCGAGATATCTTCTTGCGTCTTCATCAATCGGAGACGAATCTTGCTAAAATTCGAAAAGGTTTATGAGTTCAAATCAAAACTGAACTTTTAAAGGCTTAAAATTAAAAAAAGTATTAAAAGTATGCAGTTTACTATAAGTGTACTTGTTAAATTTGAAAAAAAACACCAAACACATACCGAATCGAATCTCCCTCGGTGACTTCTGTGCGACGTTGGCGGCGGCGGCGTTCTTTTTCTGATAAAAAAGAAATGAATGAACTTTAGAACTTTAGAAGCACATGAAGTAAACACTTTTATGAAGTACAATTTTTAAAAACACAAGGCAAACTAACCGTCAGATCTCCCATTACAGTGGTCGGGTGTTCCGTTTGAACCTTCTCGAACGAATCAACCTTCATGGCCACCCGCAGCACTGGACCTTTCTCACCCTAAAACGTCAATAATTGTAAAGAATTTAACAGTAGCCAATTAAGCAATATAAAAACAAACCGCACTAGGCCGGATGATTGGCTCGGGACGCAGTTGCACATGCACCCAATCGGGTTTCTCGGGGAACTCGCCCAGTGAAGCCGACTAAACCAAGAATGCTTTAAAATACCCCCTTTTGTATTATTCAATTGAATATTCTTTTAAAGCTAGTCATATTTTAAGGTATTCAAGCCGCAAAACCTCGAGTACAACCCCAAAAACACGACTAACACTTTAAGTTTTAACTAGAACAAACCTCAGGCACTCGATCCATCCAAATACGCACCAGGTACTCGTAATCAAGGGATCCTTCAATGATCTGAAAAAGATACATGAAATTTCCAAAAAATGCACTCACCGAAAGATATCGAATGATGTGCAGGAGATGCGGGGGCATTACGTCGTTAAAATCTTTCACCGTTTGATTCTCTAGACAATGAATATAATGTAATTCTAAAGCAATCCACTCACCAACATAATCACCGCTGTCATCGAGCGAGATGAGATCCTTTTTCATCTGAAGGACCGCCTCTTTCTTGCTCAATCGTTCCCAAGGAAGACCGGACACCGACACACCCCACATATCGCCCGTCATGTAAGCCCTAAAAAAACTTATAATAGCTTTATTAGCTTTATCAAGTTGTACTTTTAACTCAGAATCTCTTTGATCTAATCTACAGGTTATAATTTACATAATGTAAGTAGCCAATACAAATTTTGGTGCTTCTTTAGTAACGGGGATAACAATTTTGCCAAACTTTAATCCACAATTTAAACACTTTTTTGTGATAGATTTTGAAAAACTCAAAAACTATTAGAATCTACAAAACCTAAGCTTTCTAATAATGCTTTAAAGTCAATAGCACCAACCACGATTCAAGATCATCGTTTCGCGTGTACACATCTCTGGCCTCTTCCATGCCGATACTCCAGAGTTTCGTTGATCGGGCCGAAGTGCGGAGACGAGGGGCGATCTTACTAAAAAATAGTGTTCAAGATTTAAACCAAGAAAAACCATCATTAGACTTATTCTTACTTTATTTAAACAACTGTAGCACTTGCAAAACCCTCACCACAGCTGGATCTTTCCGTTCACTCCACGCGCTTTCAGCTTCACATAGGAGAACGAGGTGAGCACGATTTTCCAGGCAGCATCTCGACGCACACGGAAGGCTGACAAGCGAACGTCTCTGCAAAATGAAAATTACGATGATCAAACAACACTCGAGTATTTAGAGCCAAAGCTTTAAAAGTATACCTGTGCACATAGTTGAGTCGATGAAGCTCTTGAATGGCGCGAAGAGTTTGCAAGGCCACGTAGCAAGTCGTTCTAAAGAGAAACATCAAAAGTGAGCTTGCTGGTGGATAGCTTTGCTATTCTGCCATCCTTTTGAAACATCCAAACTTTCAAAAATCCCTCACTTTCTAAGTTGATCAATGGTGGCTTTTTCGTTCATCATTTCCGAGATCACCACATCCAGATGCGATTCGAAAGCCTCGACGAGGAGAAACGGTTGTGGATCGACGCCTTTGCCAAGGAGACTGAAAAGAAGCTGATAAGTACCACACAAATCGGTATCCTCGAAATACTGGCAAACAAAACTCACATCGGTAAATGCTCTCTCCAATGTTCTTCTACTTCTTTCACCGCTTTAAAGAGGGTTTCGAGAGTCTAAAAAGTACATATAAAAACCAAATAAAAGGCTAAAAAATCTTAAAATCGCACCGCCAGTTGAGCCGAATCGGCGGGAGTTCGCGGGTCTTCTGTGCGAATTGCAGTGGTGCCAGTGTGACTAAAGCAAGCTTGATTAGGTCTTGAGTTCACTAATAATCTAAATATTAGGCTATTCAGGAAGTCTTTTCGTTTCTTTTGGTACTTTCGTTTAAAACCAACAAATGCACCAATTCAACTACGGTTTGTTTCATTAGAAAGGCAAATTATTTTTCTGCAAAATAATATTAAAACGGGTTTCGAAGGTCTTATGTCTGGATTTTTTGGGAGCGTGAAGTCGGCTAGTCAAAAAGGGCAGCTCGATAATGCGATTTGGACACTTTAGTTAAGGAAACCTATCATGATGTCAATAGATAAAAGATAGAGCACAAAAGGTTAGGTATATAGCCAAATTTTTAGAGAAATGGATTAGGCCAATTTCTTCCTAGAGGTTCTTAAAGATTTTTACGAAAAACACGTTTTCACTATCGAATTTTCTTGAAAGTGAACCCAAATTGACTTAAAAAGATGCGAAATTGAAAAAGAAACACTTTTTATTTAGTGAAAACCATAGGTGAATTGGTGAATTCGTTATTTTTCAACGGAAGTACGAAAAGAAACAAAAAGTCTTTCTGTATAACCTAATAGATTTTATGCAGGTACAAAGGTTATCATAGACATTCTAATGGTTAGTTACTAGCTTAACATATAAAATGAAAAACACTTACTTTGGCTTCACCTGATAGACATCACCAAAGCGCCCATGGGCCAAAACGCGCACGATCTCGTACCTAAACCAAAACTTGGAATCTTGTACTTAAAGTAATGCGGTTTTGAAGCAAAAACGGAGAACAAGCGACACCTCAATAGTTCTATTTCAAGTTAGCTTCGAGTGCCAAATTTTGCAGCTATTAGCTCAAAAGGTTTAAATTTTGTCATAAAATGTTACTTTTGTGATTAAAACATTTCAAAGAACTTTGAAAATCGAGAAAATCGACTTACTCAGCCCCGTTATCCGTCCTGAAAACAGCGCCTTTGTCAAAAAGCTCATGCTCATAGGTGCGATTCATCTAAAATGCAAAAAAATGAGGCATTTTAAAACAAAGTGTGTCATTTTTAGCTATTCTTACTACTTAAAAGCTACAATTTTAACAGGAAAAGCTTAAAAAATGGTGATCATTCCTTTGATTCAAAGAAGAAAAGGGAAAAAAACTAGTTCTTACGACAAAACAATGTAGAAAAGTGGTGATTTGTTAAATTTTAGTTAAAAATCATAAAATTTGACAAGAAATGTTTGAAATCGCTTTCAAATAACCAAGAAACGAAAAAGTAAGAAAAACAACTTGCCGAAATGATGATGAGAAGACGAAAATGATTCTCGCCATCGATTAGCGTGTTGTCTATAAAAATTAAGTGCAAATTTAGGCGTTTTATTTAAATTGCGAAAAATAAAAGAGAAAATGAAAGAAATGAACTTGCTTATCGGTTAAAGTTAGCGTATTAAATGCATGGAATACAATGGAAGATATGGATACAATTTTTGACCCAAATAACTCTGAAACATTATTTCTACAAAACGCTATTTTAACTATTTCCATTAGTCATCCCTTAGGGAAAGTTTTTGTTTCTAAAAAAAATCTCAGAACAAAGAAGCTTTTCCGAAATCTCTCATTGTTTTAGAAAACGATTCATCTAAAATTGCGTATTTTTGGGAGTGGGACAAATGCGACCTTTTTTTTGCGCACCCGGACATTTGCGCACCTTTTTTTCCGCACCTGGCCTATTAACGCACCTTTTTTCGCGTTTTAAAAAAGCTCTAAAAAGCTAATATTAACTAATTTCTATTCCAAATGTTGTTTTTCTAGGTAATTTTAGGGCGTAGAATCGAAATTTTGACATATCAGAGCGTGTGGAAACCAACGGACGGAGTTATAATGGAACCAATTTGAAAGACAAAACGGCTAGATCAAATTACAGAAAATTGTCGATTTTTCTCTTTGTACAACTCCGTCCGTTCGCTTCCACAAGCTCTGATATGCCAAAATTTCGATTCTACGCCCTAAAATTACCTAGAAAAACAACTTTTGGAATAGAAATTGGTTAATATTAGCTTTTCAGAGCTTTTTTAGAGCTTTTAGAGCTTAAAACGCGAAAAAAGGTGCGCTAATGGGCAAGGTGCGGAAAAAAAGGTGCGCAAATGTCCGGGTGCGCAAAAAAAAGGTCACATTTGTCCCACTCCCGTATTTTTGCGTACTTTGCAAAACTTTTTCACAGAACAAGGAAGAAATTGAATATTTCCTTAGGGTAAAGACGACAAGAAGACAAGACGAGAAAAAGGAGAAAGAGAGGAATCAAATCATATCCAACTGAGTCGACTGAATATTTTTTTATTTCCTCTCTTTTTCTTTTTTAAAGAGAACTCCGAAAATCCTCGCTTCCCCCTTTTTTTTTCTTCAAAAATTGCCGCCAAAATTTGGTTATTTGAGAAAAAAAATTGTGAAAGGTGAATGGTTCTTTTTGGCTTTTGGATTGACGTGTGTTGGGTTTCGATTTTTCATTTGCATTTGTTGCATTGGCGTGATGCCTGAGCTTCAATTGTTATATCGATTTCCTTCGAAATCCTGTTTCTTTTGAATCCTAGCAATCCTAACAGCTTTGTACTCTGTGCTCGAAAATTGTAAACACACCCTTTCTGGTGCACTTGGCTTGGCTTGGCTTGGCTTGGCTCTTCTTTCTCTACTTGGTAGTTTGGCTCTGTTCAATGACAGGTTGACTTAATAAAAATCGGATGACTTGAAAAGAAAAGGATGACCTAAAGCCAAATCTTTTATCTAAGTCTAACTGTTCTCAGGTTTTGGGGATTCTAAAGACTTTTTGCTTGTTATAATAAATTGTGAGATGAATCTTTGAATAGTTTATTGTATTAGGTACATGCATAGATAAAAATAACCCATTTCACGGTGTTTTTCCAAGTGTTTTCTCTTTGCTTTAATGTTTTCTCTTTGCTTCTATCTAAAAAGCTCTATTAATTCTTGTTAAAATATCTTGATATTGCTTTTTCCAAAATCTTTCGTTTTTGGGATTTGCAAGAGGCAAGAAGCAAAGTGGTCAAAAATGGCAAATTGGACAAATTGGATTTCGTTTACAGAAACCTATTTTATTGTCAATCAAAAAAAGTTTGAGCATAAAGCGTTAGGCGTATAGCCAAATTTTCAGATCAATCTTTCCAGCCTATTTTCTTGTATTCCAATTTTACGAATTTTCAGTAAAATGCGGGTTTTTTTTTTCCTAAAAACTGCAGGTAAATGCATAAGAAATGCGGATTTCAACATTTTCATCAATTTCCAACGATAGAAACCCTGATATCGATGAATGTTATAAACTATTTGAAAGTTGTAAATCTCCTCTACAAAATAGGCTAAAACGTGTTTGAATTGATTGAAGAAATTGAAGAAATTTCGAGGGCAAAATGACTCTGAAAATATGATCATTTCGATCTTAGCGGCCTTCTTGCGGATCAAGTGGAGTGCAGTGGTTGAATGTGGTGGTCGAATGATACAACTTTCGTCTCCAGATCGAAACTTCATAAGCTCGATCCCAATTTTTCATCGGCTTTTTTTCCAAGAAGTGTTGACTAGTTTTCTTTGACTAGCACAACATATTTTGTGATGCTGCAAACTGACGCCACTTTGTTTCCTTCTTGACGCCACTTTGTTTTCTTCTTGTTTTCTTGTTCCTTGTTTTCTTGTTTCTTGTTTCTTGCTTTCTTCTTGAACAACATACTTCTTGAAAAAAGCAAAAGATAAATCCAAAGTGGGGATCGAACTTGTAAGGTGTGGCTCTGGAAACGAACGCTGTACCATTCGGTTGCACCGAGTTGGGTCCGCAAGGAGCTAAGACCCAAATGCTAAGACCGCTAAGACCGCTAAGACCCAAATGACCACATTTTCAGAGTTCTAACGAAACGAACGAGTTTAGACGCTTATAACTCCTGGTAGATTGTCATTTAGCAAAAACGAAATATATATTCGGAATCAGCATAAAAATCTGCGTCGAATGGTATAGGTTGCATAGCATTTAACCGGCTCAGTTGATCTCTATGTCAGTTGACAACCCCTGTCATCCTGTAAATGAACAAACCAGATAGTTTCAAAAAGAAATGCTGCAAACTGACGCCACTTTCTGCAAGCTAGCCAAGCCAGAAGCCAAACCAAACATTCTTGTGACGCACTTTGTGCTCAACGCAACCTGCACCCTCTCTGGTGTAAACGCAGCCTCTCTGGTGCACTCGAGTCTTTGTTTAGTGCACTAGCTTGGGTGTGTTTCTATTTTCAGAGCACAGTTTCAGCTCAAAGTCGCTCAACTCGAAAAAGTTAGTCAAAAGGCGCTGCAGATTTATGTCAACGATAATCCTGTCAACAGCGCTCAACCCTGTCAACTCGAATATTTCACACAAATCAGAACAATATTAGCTGGTTTTTGCTTCTTTTTTCTTCTATTTTTACTACTTAAACTTCAAATTCTAATTTAAAACTTCAAATTCTGACTTAAAACTTCAAATTCTGAATTAAAACTTCAAATTCTGAATTAAAACTTCAAATTCTAATTTAAAACTTCAAATTCTGACTTAAAACACTTCAAATTCTAACTTAAAACTTCAAATTCTAACTTAAAACACTTCAAATTCTAACTTAAACCTTCAAATTCTAACTTAAAACTTCAAATTCTGACTTAAAACTTCAAATTCTGACTTAAAACTTCAAATTCTGACTGATCCGAGCTTTCTTATCATGTCAAAAAAAGCCAAATCCCAATTTCTTCCCAATTCTTGCTCATTCCAACAATAATTGGCCTCATCAATGGCTCTTTTCCTCATATTTTTCAAAGAGATCCCTTCATTTCTTTTCTCAAAACACATCGAGTCTCTCCTCTCATTTATGTGCCTTTATGTGCTTCCGCGTTTTGTTTCGAACTTTTGTGAAAGAGACTTTTGTGAGAGAATGTGAGAGAACTTGTGAGAGAACTCACTTGTGATGTCTCTCCATCTCTTTCCCTGCCTCAGATCCACACTTTATGGGTTTCAAGAGTTGGAAAGACTTCTTTACGATTAGGATTCTTTACGATTAAGATTCTTTACGATCAACATTTCTTAGGGTTTTGGGGTCAGTTTCTACTTTGAAAAGGCGTCTTTTTGAAATTCTTTTGAAATTCTTTTGTTCCGAGTTGGCAGAAAGTTAGTTAATTTATTGAAGATGAATCTAGGATTGCTCAAAATTGAGAAATGAATTTGTGCCAATGTGAAATTTTAGCTGAGATTCTTTAGCTTAGGCTTAGGCTTAGGCTCAGGCTCAGGCTTAGGCTTAGGCTCAGGCTTAGGCTTAGGCTCAGGCTTAGGCTTAGGCTCAAGCTTTTTCTAAGCACAAACGGCAAAGATTCTCAATTTACTAAATTTCTTAAATAAAGATACATTTCTAAATTTTGCTGAATAGTTTTTGCTGAAGGCCAGGCGATCATTATCTTTCTTCATTGAACTTAATCTGTTCAAATTTGAAACAAGCTTTTTATTACATTTGCGAAATGTACTCTAGTGGTCTATTTTTTGCTAACAGCTCCACCAAAAGTCTAAAAATTTGTCAGAATATAGCTTTTTCCCCAATAAAGACCCGAAATTTGATTTGACTGAAAGGAAATTTTTCCTTCGGTTCAATTATCCAAGTATCTATCAATAGTTAAAGCAGTATGCCACAAGATTTTAGATTGACTCAAAAATTAAAAGCTGTTGTTGTTGTTGCTGTTGTTGTTGTTGTTGTTGCTGCTGCTGCTGTTGTTGTTGTTGTTGCTGTTGTTGTTGTTGTTGTTGTTGCTGTTGTTGCTGTTGTTGTTGTTGCTGTTGTTGCTGTTGTTGTTGTTGTTGTTGCTGCTGCTGCTGTTGTTGTTGTTGTTGTTGCTGTTGTTGTTGTTGTTGTTGTTGCTGTTGTTGTTGTTGTTGTTGTTGCTGTTGCTGTTGTTGTTGTTGTTGTTGTTGCTGTTGTTGCTGTTGTTGTTGTTGTTGTTGTTGCTGTTGTTATTGTTGTTGTTGCTGCTGTTGTTGTTGTTGTTGTTGTTATTGCTGTTGCTGTTGCTGTTCTTGTTGCTGTTGTTCAATTTCGCAACATTAGTTATTCAGAAATCAAATTTCTCTTAGATTATTCGATTTTTTGAAACATTGAAACTTTTTATCAATCTACAGTTAGAATTTTTGTCAATGAAGCAAACTGAACCATAAAATGGATCAAAAAGCTTTTCGAATTGGTTTTTTTGTGAGGCTAACAAATTAATCTCACTTATCGTTAGTCTCTGCGCTTGAAACTTCACACCTCGAAGCCATTTCAATCTCTTTTTCCCTTTCCAGAAAGTCCAATTTGTGTGCTCACTGCTCACCATGTTTCTCGCAATTGGGGACGACGTTCAGGCAAAACTTTTTTTGCAAAAAACCTTCAAAGACTCAGAAAACCCAGAAGCTTGTTCAAGTTTTGACTTTAAAACATTATAAATTAGCTTAGGCTTTGTAGATTCTAATATTAAATTGTCAAGAAAGTCTTTTCGTTCGTTTTTTTGAAAAAAATAACAAATTCACTAATTAATCTATGGTTTAATCTAAATAAAATGGTTTTTAGTCTAATATTTTAAGCTTAATCTCTTAAATGTTTTTCCCCGTTGCAGAAAAAAGTCATTTTCGATGTTTCCATGAAATTATTCATTAAAAAATTCGAAGAAAAACATCTCTAAGTTTTTTTCGCTCAGAATTTTCAATGTTTTTTTCACTTTTTGATGAGTTAACTTCTTTCAAAACAAAAATGATTCGATTTTTTCTGTGATTTTGATGAATTGTGATGTAGAAAAATGATATTTCGCTATCAGTTTCTATTTGAAAATAAAAATTATACAAAATATTTGAGCTTTACAACATCTTCGCTTCTCTCAAGGCTTCTCAAGCATTCGCTTCTCTCAAGCATTCGCTTCTCTTCTCAAGCATTCGCTTCTCTTCTCAAGCATTCGCTTCTCTTCTCAAGCATTCGCTTCTCTTCTCAAGCATTCGCTTCTCTTCTCAAGCATTCGCTTCTCTTCTCAAGCATTCGCTTCTCTTCTCAAGCATTCGCTTCTCTTCTCAAGCATTCGCTTCTCTTCTCAAGCATTCGCTTCTCTTCTCAAGCATTCGCTTCTCTTCTCAAGCATTCGCTTCTCTTCTCAAGCATTCGCTTCTCTTCTCAAGCATTCGCTTCTCTTCTCAAGCATTCGCTTCTCTTCTCAAGCATTCGCTTCTCTTCTCAAGCATTCGCTTCTCTTCTCAAGCATTCGCTTCTCTTCTCAAGCATTCGCTTCTCTCAAGCATTCGCTTCTCTCAAGCATTCGCTTCTCTCAAGCATTCGCTTCTCTCAAGCATTCGCTTCTCTCAAGCATTCGCTTTAGCCATTTTGAAGCCCCTTTTAAGCCTTTTTAGTCGTTTTTAAAGCCTACTTTTTGAATTTGTTTAGGGAAAAATCAATTTTCATTCAATTTAAGTAAGTTGAAATGTGCTTCGAAATTAATTTAATGTATAAATTTTCATTTAATTTAAATAACGCCATACGAATTATCGACCAATCAATTGATCCATCAAATTTTGAAACTTACGAATACTCTTTTGTTTTTTTTTGTACTATTCAGAGTTATTGATCGTCTCAAAATTGATTACTTGAATTGTTTTAGTAAGTTAAATGGATATTTTTAAAGCTAGGCTTAGCTTGATGGCTAGCTTGATGGCTAGCTTGATGGCTAGCTTGATGGCTAGCTTGATGGCTAGCTTGATGGCTAGCTTGATGGCTAGCTTGATGGCTAGCTTGATGGCTAGCTTGATGGCTAGCTTGATGGCTAGCTTGATGGCTAGCTTGATGGCTAGCTTGATGGCTAGCTTGATGGCTAGCTTGATGGCTAGCTTGATGGCTAGCTTGATGGCTAGCTTGATGGCTAGCTTGATGGCTAGCTTGATGGCTAGCTTGATGGCTAGCTTGATGGCTAGCTTGATGGCTAGCTTGATGGCTAGCTTGATGGCTAGCTTGATGGCTAGCTTGATGGCTAGCTTGATGGCTTAGCTAAGCTTACCTTAGCTTCTTTCCAATACTAATTTCATTGATTTAATATAAATTTGTCTAACTGACCAACTCAACAGCGTTGACGTCAACTTTAGTACTTTCCAAATACGCTCTTACTTTTTCAAGACCAAAAAAAGTCATATTACTATTTACTTTTCCAATCTCATAAATATTTTTCACCAAAAATTAAATCTAGCACACTTTGTTCTTGAATAAAGTATCTAGCCGTTTACGAAATTCAGCCGCTAACGAATCATTCGTTAGCAGCTGAATTTCGTAAACGGCTACGACATCTAGAAAAAGCATTTAGCAAGACAAGTGAATGCTCTGTGATCGCTTTTCTCTTCTTTCTTTAAATTTTTGGACAAGCATTTCAAAAATGCAAAATCTCTAAAGTTCAGCAAAAGGAAAAGAGAAAGAAAACGATTTCTGACGGCTGTCTTTTTGATTTCTTTTTCAAACATATTCTTTCGAGTCCTATACATTTTGCGTTCTTTTTTTTGCGAAACGTTGTCTGATCGTGACAGCTTTCCCTTCTCCTCGGCTTCCATTTTTGCCGAAATTCCGAAATTCATGAAATTGAGAGTTTTCGCTTTCTCTTGAGGATATTGTTTCGTTTTTTTTTGATTCTTGATATGTACAACAGGTTGATTTAAATAGATTTAAATAGATTTAAATAGATTTAAATAGATTTAAATAGGTTTAAATAGATTTAAATAGGTTCATATTCGATTTTTAGAACTCATTGCAAAAATTTTGTGAACTACCATGGATTTTCTCGCATTTTGTCAAGGTTACAGTTGTAAAAAGTAATGCAAAGTAATGCAGTAATGCAAAGTGATGCAGTAATGAAAAGTAATGCAATAATGCAGTCATTTAAAGTAATGCACAAAGTTGTCCGTCATAGCAAGTTTACAGGCGATTGCAATTTAAATTATTACTTTGACTTGATCAATGTTGAAACACAGTTTCTACAAAATTTGAATAAATTTTGACAATTTGGGAAAAAATGGGCTACATCTCGTGCAAAAAGAGTTAACTATCATTTACTAGGGAGGTGGGACAAATGCGACCTTTTTTTTTGCGCACCTGGACATTTGCGCACCTTTTTTTTTTGTTGGAAAAGGCTTTAGGCAAGGCCGTAGAGGCCGTAGAGCTTCAAATATGTGTCCATACTAGGGAATCGTATGCGTAGATTCAGAATTTCGACAAATCAGACCTCACTGACGTCAAATTTGGGCTAAAAGGCAAAAACTACGCAACTTAACGCTTTTCCGCAGTTGTTGCCTTTTAGCCCAAATTTGACGTGTCAGCGAGGTCTGATTTGTCGAAATTCGGAATCTACGCATACGATTCCCTTCTATGAAAACATTTTTGAAGCTCTACGACCTTTCCTAAGGCCTTTTCCAGCAAAAAAGGTGCGCAAATGTCCAGGTGCGCAAAAAAAGGTAGCATTTGTCCCACCCCCTTTACTAGATATAAAAGAGGAAGCTCCACCCGTGAACGCTATTCCTCAGCGCCCCGTAAAACAGTTAATTATCATTTACTAGATATAAGTAATGAAAAGTAATGCAGTAGTGCAGTCGTTTAAAGTAATGCAGTAATGCAAAGTAATGCAGTAATGCAAAGTAATGCAGTAATGCAAAGTAATGCAGTAATGCAAAGTAATGCAGTAATGCAAAGTAATGCAGTAATGCAAAGTAATGCATTTTTGCTTTTTTTCATTTTTGCATTAGCCAGTTTGAAAGTGATTGCATTTTGAATTATTACTTTCACTTAATCAATGTTGAAACACAGCTTCTATAAAATTTGGATAAATTTTGAGAATTTGGGAAAAAATGGGCTACATCTCGTGAAAAGAGAGTTAAATATCATTTACTAGATATACCGTATTTCTTCGAATAGAAGACCGGGTAAAGAGTATCATCGCGTACTCCTGCGTAGCAGCCCTTTTTAAAATTTCTTTTCTGCATAAAAGCTTTCAATGAAGTGCTATAGAGCTGGAAAATGACTCAAAAATACCACATGAGCTAACAGATTTTTGAGCCATTTTCCAGCTCTATAGCACCTGATTGAAAGCTTTTTATGCAGAAAAGAAATTTTTAAAAGGGGCTACGGAGTACGCGATGATACTTTACCCCGGTCTTCTATTCGAAGAAATACGGTAAAAGAGAAATGCCAATCTTTGGAATACTATTCCTCAGCGTCCCGTGAAACAATTTGAACAATTTATAGTTGATTTGCCTTAGAATTCTATGTATTAGCTCGGTAAATATGAAAGGTTATTTTTTACAAAAAATATTGCCCTGTCGTTACGAAGAACATTCGCTGTCTAGGATTTTTCTCAATAATATGTCAAAATGTGCTCATGTTTTTTTTTGCAAAAACATTTTTGTTTTGAACAATATTTGTATTGTTTCAGCTCGGCAAAGATGGATAACCAAAAATTTAAAATTAGGGCCGCCATTTTCTTTGAATTCAAGTTAAACAAGAAAGCTACGGAATGCCATCAGAACATTTGTACTGTTTTTGGAGAAGCTGCTCTTACTTACAAACAATGTTGTGTTTGGTACGATCGCTTCAAAACGGGAAATGAGTCATTGGAGGATGCACCACATGGAAAGCCGCCGATTACTTTGGACGATCAGCTGTTACTGAACGAGGTCGACTTGGATCCATCGCAAAAGTGTAGAAAATTAGCAGAAAAGTTCGGATGCACTCATGTTACCATTTACACGTTCTTGGGAAATCATATCGAAGCGGGAAATGGCTCCCCCACGACCTCACTGATGCCCACAAAGTCACACGAGTCACCTTGAGCTTTGTTCTTCTACGTAAAGCTAGCCATCGTGTCTTTTGGAAGTATTTTTTGACATCTGATGAGACTTGGCTTTCGTATGAAAATATTCAACTCTATGGACAGTGGCTGAGTTCGAAGCGGACCTCTCATTCTATCCCGAAGCCTCCGAAAAAGTTATGCTTTGTGTGTGGTGGATTGCTAAGGGATTGGCTCATTTGGAAATATTAGATAAAGGAGACACTGTTGACGGAAGACTTTATGCAGAACAAATGGGTCGAGTCGATCCAGCATTGAGGAAAAAGAGGATCGATCCATCGAAGGTCAGATTTCTTCACGACAATGCTAGGCCTCACATTTCAAAGATCGTCCACGAACAAATCGACAAGTTGAGCTGGAAACTTCTTTCACACCCACCATACAGCCCTAATCTAGCCCCATCGGATTACCATCTCTTTCGGTCAATGAAACAAGCAGTTTCTGGACAGCAGTTCAAACAAAAGCAGGAAATCGAA